CCTAACCCTAACCCTAACCCTAACCCTAACCCTAACCCTAACCCTAACCCTAACCCTAACCCTAACCCTAACCCTAACCCTAACCCTAACCCTAAACCCTTTGTTATAATACTTAATGAAATAAAGCCCTAATTATTAAAGCCTTATATAAGTAACTTTAAGTATTAATATAGCTTACTTTATAGTTATATAATCTTTAAATGCCTTATAGAGGGTCGGCCGCTATATTATAATTAAATTATTACTTATTAATAGCTTAAAAAGCTATTAGTTTATCTCTTTATTATATCGTTACTTTTTTTACTTTTTACCTGATTTTTAGGCTTACTTATTAACTATTATTAAAACCTTTAAGATAATTACCTCGATATCTATAACTTAACTATTATTATTAATACCTATAGCTAGCTATACCTCGATACTATTAATAAAAAGCTTAAGGTCTCTCGATACCTTAAAGTTATTAAAGATAATATTACTAACGATATTAATAATAATAACGTTAAAGCTGATTTTATATAATAAAGCTAGGGTTCGAGATAGATATAAGGCTTATAAGAGACTTAAGGTAAAGGTAGAGATAGAGGTAGGGCTCGAGGCTATTAACCTAGCTAAACTATAAGCTAAGGGACTTAACCCTTAAACTTAAGCGTCTATTATAATTACTTATAGTTCGAGCTTAAAGACGAGCTCTTATAGCTATTATAGGCGTTATAAGCATTATAGCTAGCTTCGAGGAGCTTATAGGCATTATAGCTAGCCTTAAATAAGTTATAGACCGTAAGGGGATTATAAGGTAGCTATAGCTATACTTATAGTAGTATTATTACTTTAGACCGGTCTATAATATTACGAACTACCTTAATAGCGGCACTAGCTACCTTAATAGTATTATAGGCTATATCTACCTTAGCCTTATAAGATAAGGTTATCTTAGCTATATAGCTATAACCGTAATTATACCTAAAGCTTAATACGGTTAAGGGACTTAATATATAGTCCTTAAAATAAAAGAATATACCCTTAATATTATAATATTATAAAGAAACTATAGAAATATGTTTTTTAAGCGAATTAAGCCTTATTAACGCTATAGCTAGGGTAGATAAGGTTAGGGGCGTAAGTATAGTTAATAATAATAAAGGTATAGCTAGCTAGCCTAGCGGAGGGATCTAAAATAGAATAATATATATCTAAATATAATAATATTATAGGAAACTATAGAAATATATTTTTTAAGTAATTTAAGCCTTACTAGCGCTATAACGCGGCTATTACGTTATAATTACTTAATATAATTAAGATATCGCGATATTTCTTATATTACTTATATATATATACTAAAATTAAGTAGTGCGAGCTAGCGGTAAGGAGAGTAAGGTAAATAGTAGGGTTGCCTTATAAATAAAAGTATAATGCCTTATAAATAGTAAAACTCTATATTAATATAATATATATTACTAAAGGACTTATTAATAATATTAATATTATTACTATTAATATAAATACGCTTATTAAATATATTATATAATCTTATAGCTTAATATATCCTTTACCTTATAGGGCTATATATAATAATAAATAGAATAATAATAATAATAATAATAATTATATCTAGCGCTTTCTTTTATCTACTCTTTTAGTTAACCTTAAACTATCCGCTGCCCGCCCTTAAGCAGAAGAAGCATTAATAATATATATTTTCGGTCTATAATATATCGATTAGTAGCATATTATTACTATTAAGTCTGCCTTTACTCTTAAGATTATATTAGTTATATACCTTACGATAATAAGCCTAGATTTTCTAGACTTAATAATAGATATATAGGCATCTTTTATATTTCAGTCCGTCCGTTATCGGCGGTATAAGATAAGGAATAGGGCTGATTGCCGGCGGTAGGATTACGAGCCTGCTTAAATCGTTACGGCTATATATTAAGTTAGGGATGCTCTTTACGGTTTGCTCTACCGCGCGTTATGCTATTACGGGTAGCTCCCCGTATCGCGTCTATAGATAGCTTGCGACCTTATTACCGGCGTATATATACCCGCATTTTATGTAAATAACGATTAAGTATCTCGGAAGATAAATAAAAGGTTCTATAGCGGGAGAGTTTATAGCTACGTTTAAAGCAGCGTAGTGTATATATATAAGGAATAGTCGTCTATAACGCGATTATAGCATCGCGTCGCTAGACGCGAGGAGTGAACTCAGCCGCTAATTAGCTATCTGGAAACTAACTCAGCCCCTATCACCATAAATCAACTCTGGGCTGGGTTCATTAAGGTATTATTTACGAGGCCATTTCAAGTCAACACTTTAACGCTTTAACGCAAACGACACTCAGCACAGCCTTCCTCCTTGGCGATCATCACCCTTTCTCCGCCGAAGAGCCGCACCGGGCTGCGGAGACAAGTGGCTGACAAAGGTAAACATCCTTCAGTGCGGAGATCTGAGGCTCTGTCCCGCAGAAAAGCCACACCACGCCGCAGGGACGGAGCGGGTGAGAGTTCGACATGAACAACCCTAACCGATGCTGGGTGGGGGACTGGGGCTGTGGCAACATTCAGCGGCACTGCCGGGACGGGAAGGATCTGCACCAATTTAGCAGCGCCGCTGGGCGGGTGCAGACAGTCTCGCCGTAACTCGAGCAGGATACGGGGAGATTGCAAAGGTAGAACACCCCTCAACGCAGGCCGGCAGTCGATGCGGCTCCTATCCTGCCTGGCGTCGTCCATGCGACTTTTCCCGCAGCGAATCGACACATCATCTCACGATTTATCCCCGTAGAATGCGTGTCGCGTACCTGTCATTAATTGCCTTTCTCGCAATGTCACTCGTGTTACGTACTGCTGGCGATATGTCAGGCCTAGTCACTGCGAGTTTCCCGGAGCATCCCGCCGTCAGGGAGAACAAGAAGAGACAGCTCGGCAACGATTTTATAGCGTGGACTGCATTCAGCAATAATATGACATTCCGGGGCGCATGAGACACGGTAAATGGCTGTTGTATGGAAGCTTTGGTAACCACTGGTGATGATTTAATTTATGTCCCGCTCACTTACGTTTCATGATCCTGGCGAAGTGCGGCTGAAGGATCGACAGTCAGCCGAATCGCCTTGTCGCCTAACCCCGCTCACAGAGGAGTTAATTGCCGTTAAATAACGTCACCACCTGCAGCTATAGCTTGCATGGCGTATGGCCCTCATTAATCAAGCAAATTTCATCACGGCTGCCGGATCCCAAAAGTAGTGGGACTTTTTCCCGGGCCTTCGAGATGAGCTTTGGATATAGCATTGGAGATTTTATTACCTTGGGAGACAAGGCATGGACGGTAAGTGCAGACCGTGCACTCGCAACATCAAGGATTGGCGCTTTCTCCGGGCCTACATATCCACAGTCTGATACCCTTCTTAGATCTACAAGAAATGCAAAGAAGCACCAGAGCAGTATGCACAGCTTTCTCATTACGTGGAAGTGCTGCGTATTGTCATAGACGACGTTCATAAATTCTTGGAGGACGGGGAGCCGCCGGACAGCGAACGCAAACTCGCTTCTCTAGTCTCGTCAGCCCAGGGTTGTGAGACAACGCTAGCAGAGGTCGAAGAATTCCTGGAAAAGCACTCAAAAGTAGGAAGCAAGAATAAGCGGGTGATTGACACTGCCAGATTCATAATCAAGGACGTGCAAGGGCTAAGATCGAGACTGGAAATGAACGCTCAGTTGCTGCAGCTTTGTCTTGTATCGTTCCAAAGGTCAGTATTGGCATGCCCTGCGTGCTTCACGTCGCCACCTTACTGACCTTCATCAGTTTGTCGATTGCGGTGGTACGGGAGAACCTACATCATATCACCGATGAGTACCGCTCCGGGACACGTGAACCGACGGTGCTGTCCAGCGTTCTTCTGGACAACGACATGACACGCGTAGACGACGAGGACCTCTACGAGCAAATCATTGTCGACCTTGAGGGGAAAGGAACCCATCCGGACTGCATTACTTTGCACAACGAGTACATCAGGGGTTGGATACGCGACATCACTCTCCAGAACATACAAGGTGAAGAAGCAGATGGAGCAACAGCCATAACCGCGTCGGACCCCACTGAACTTGCCGTTGTGCCTGAGACTAGGATTCGTTCCTGGGTTGCTAGCACAGAAATCGACTCTGAGAGTAAAGTTTCCACGTTGGAGAACATTGAAGTTGAGGTGCCACTGGATTGCTCCTCAATGCCTGGCAGTATCGCGGGCCTTCCAAGCGACGACAGTGGTCCGTCACCACCGGACCAGCCTAATCCGGAGTACGTCAAACGGGTCTTAGGCTCGCTCCTGGATACCGACCGTTTCTTGCTCTGCAATTCTCCAGACGCACTGCCCAGGATTCAACGCGTCTATGAGAGACTGGATTACACTCAACGTGGGTGCCTAACGCGGAGCGAAATACTCAAAGCATCACAGGACGCATTAGAATACGTTGGCATCACTGGAATCGCCCTCGACAAGCTGCGTCTACATGCAGTCATCTCCACGTTTGACGAATACAGAGTTGGCAAGTATGACGAACAGGCGTTTACATCCTTCGTACGTCATTTGCAGCAACTTTGTGTCAAAGCAAGGCGAGAGCAATTGGCCGAAATAGTCACCTTCTACGGTGCAGAAGCCAGGGCCTACCTTGATTCTGAGCGGATGCATCAGATTGAGGGACACATGCAAAACACAAAGCTGGAGAAGCTTGATCTCGGCAGTCCGAAGTACATTCCTCCCTTCGGCTGGTCTGAGAATGCGCCTGGCTCGACCGTCCGCTTTCGGGACAACATAAGTGGTAAAGACGCAGAACAACTTCCACTTGTGCACAGAAAATCTTTCAGCACCATGGCTTCTGATGCAGCGTGGGCTGTGGAAAGGATTGACATTATTCAGGCCGAATGGTTGCCGTTCGTACCAGCAGGTCTTCGCCAACCGTTTCTGGATGGGTTCAACAAAGTCCGAAACGCAGGACTCAAGTACACAATCTTCGAGAACGACGGCGACCCCTATCGGCTCAGTGATCTGGACGACTTTGCCGTCAGCTACCATATAATGCGAAAGTTGGAACCGGGCACCCTTCCGGCCGCTCTTCATCCCATCATGCAAGATCTCGAAATGGCCCGCATTTACAGCTTTGAAGCGCTCGGGGATATCCTTGCTTTTGTTTACCACCTCGCCAGATCTCTGCAAACCGACCAAGTCGTTCAGCGCTTCTCCATTCTGAATTCATCATGGAGGGCAACCCAAGCACTGAGCGCTTCTCGTTTGATACTTCAGCGTCTAAACGGATGGAGCGACGTGGTGGAGGCGACGAGGAAGTGCCGGCAGATCAACATAGCGATGTTGCACAATCGAGCCTTGTCGATATCTCAAGAGTCCCTGCGCTGCCAGCTGAGTGAGGTGCTGTTCGAAAGCACGTTGCTGGAAATGTCCATATCGGGTCTCAAGCCATCGAAGTTGTTTTGGTCAAGTGCTGTGCCATTGAACAACCGCTAGGTGATATCAAACTGACTGATCCCAGTGCGCTTCATTCGTGCGAGTGTTACTGTGGACCACCCGCCGCAGAATGTTACAATGCAGTACCAGCCAGCCGCTTTCCATTGGGATCGGGATCAGGCTCATTCCTGGAAGTGCAAAGAACAGTTGTTAGTACCTAAGCCTGATCGAAAAGTCTGCTACCGCTGACTCCATGACAGGAAACTGTGCAACCAATCAAGGATTTCGTTGTCAATCTTTCTGGACTCAGCACACAGTCTGGCTCAAGCCCCAGAGAAGATATTGACATTCCGAGTGGCTGACCAGCTTCAATTCGGTGGTATGTTCCCAACGTGGACCGGCAGTGTTTGACAAGACCAGAGTTTGCAGCGCTAACCTGCGGTGGACAGCAAAAGGCGAACGGCGGGTCAAACTCAAGTTCGACAAGAATGGCCTCATGGTTTTAGTCTTGGATATTGTTGACGATGAAGACCTCATCAGGTCAACGCAAGTCAGTATAGTTACTGATCTCATAAATGCCCCTTACTGTTGACCCGCAAGGCAAAACTGAAAGTCCTGTCCCTCCCAGTACCAAAAATTGGTAGTGTAAACGAGATTGATCGCAGCGGCAGTGACGTATTGAGCGGGCATGCGAACAGGCTGCAGCTGCTGCGCCGCTCATCCTGCGCCACCAAACCCGTGGACAGGCTGTACAAATTTCGCTATCCCAGGCGCCGACCAGACAACTTGCGCACGGCGCTTGCCCTTAACTCATTGTCGCCGCCGTCGGCCGTTGTCTAAGTGGACGATGACTTCCGGCGTGCGCCTTGGAGTCTGGAATGCGCCGCAATATCCAACCCTTGCCTTTGGACAGCCATGTGTTTCGGGCTTCGTGTAGCTCTGGTTACCCGACGTGGTCTTCGCTATTGTCGTCCTCCACGTTGGGGCTCTCGTTGCTAGCATCGGTTAATCGTTAAAAGAAACTCCGGCTCTCAGCTACCCCGGCCCGCAATTCGGCACGATGCACCAGCGCCGGACCCACTTTTAACCACACTTCACGCTCCGCCTCGTCATGGAGTCAAGATGCCGCCACTAGCATACGGGTCATCGTCCGCGGGTACCCGCGGGCGCTTTCCCCGGAGCCTGGTCGACCCTGAATAGGTTGCGCCATAGCTCCGATGTCTGGTAGGCGCGGTTAAGTGGCATGCTCATGACTAAGGTAGTCATGCCGGCATACGCGAGGTTAAAGGTATCGACCGAATAGTTACTCGCTATTAATAGCGAGACTATATCGGTCTCCTCCTTAATCTCCTCTACGCCCTCTATATTATATATATTAAAGTTAGCCCACTAATTAGGGCTAAACTTAGCCTTTATAATAGAGGTAGCTACTTACTGCTATTAAGCTATAATTAACTCTAGCGTCTCTACTTATATATAAGCCCTTTTTAGGTAGTCTATTTTTCTTATATTAAGCTAGACCTTACCGTTTAATATTACTTAGAGGTATAGTAATAGTAATGCCTTAAGCTTACTTTAATATAAGAATATCTACTATAAAAGCTAGATAATAATAAGATATATAAAAAGTAGATCTTATATTATATAAAGTAAGAAGCAGACGTTATTAATCTACGCCCTTATTAGCTCCTAGCTCTTATAATAGTAAATATATAATATAATACTCCTTTTTAATATATAGATATTTTAGTACCTACCTATATTAATATATAATATTAATAATAGCTTAAATACTTATAGTAATAAATAAAGTAATATATAAATAAGTATAATTAATTACTTTAAGAACTCTTAAATATAAGCTATATAAATTAAAATAGCCTTATAATATAAAACTTATTACTTTATTAAGCTATTTTATATAAATACTTATTATAACTTAAAGTAACTTTAAATCTATTATAATAAAGCGTTTTATATATTATATAAAATCTCTATATTTCTTTTATTAATTAGCTATAAGTTACTATACTCCTTAAAATCGAGGTTATTATATACTTATTAAGACTTAAAGGGTTAAATATTATTTATATTAAAAAGGAGCTTATTAAATAAGAATATATATACTTATTAATACTTTAATATAAATAGCTATAAGACTTAGTCTATATATAATATAACGCTATTTAATATAAGGGTCTACTTATTTTATAATTAATAAGCTTAATATTATATAATAATAAACTTATTAACCTTTTTAAAGTAATTATATTAAGTTAGGGTATAACTAAGGGGCGTCTCTTTTTTAATATTAAAAGCTTCTTTAATTATTACTTAAATATAGTCTAGAATCCTATCTTTATTATCTTATTTATAAAAGTAAGTATAGTTAAATAAAAGAAGCTATATAATTTAGATAATCGCTAAGATATAATTAATAAGGTTTTTAGGCTCGGCTTAAATTAATCTCTTAATCTTAGCCTTTTAGTAATAATCTTTCTTATTATTACTAGCTCTTAAAGGCATTACTTAATTATATATAATATAAAAGCTTAATAAAGGGGAGTAAAATAGCGTATTACTAACCTTTTAATATAATAATAATAAGTAAAAGTTATAAATAGCGTATTAAAGGGCCGGGTCGCTTTAATATACCTCCTCTTTCTCCTTACTATTATTATAGCCGCTAGTATCTTTTATAGCCTTTTTCGAGCTTTTTATTCTCTTTACCTATCCTCGCGTCTTAAAGCTAAATTTTATTTAGACCCGACGCTATTATTATACCGTCTGGGGAGAAGGTAACGGACTCGACCTAGGCGTAGCTATTAAGCTCTTACTGCTCTTCGCCCGTTACTATATCTTAGAGCCTTATCGTGCTATTATCCGAAGCTAATACTAATGTCTTACCGTCCGGTAAGAAGGCGACGGCTAATACTGCGTCGTTATAACCTACGAGCTTATACTTCTCGTCGCCTATTATCGCGTCTTATAGTAAGACCGTCTAGTCGCTAAGAGCTAATATAATAGTTTTACCGTCCGGCGAAAAGGCGACAGATATAACTTAATTTTAACTGCCCTCGAGTTTTAATTTCTCTCTACTTATTATTATATCTTAAAGCCTAGTTATATTATCTCTTAAGGCTAAAGCTACTATTTTACTATTTAGTAAAAAGACAATAGTATTAATAGCGCTATTATATCCTTCGAGCGCTTATAGATATAAACCCTATTTTAGATTCGCTTTTAGTATTAATAAGATCTATTTTAATATATAATCTTCGAATAAACTTTTAATAACGCTTCCCTTTAGCGTAAAGATAATTATAGAAGTATATACTTAAAGGAGGTATAAGTTAGTATTTTTTAAAGTCTAGGATAAAGTCTTAAAATCTTTATTTATCCTTTTATATAAAGGTCTATAATCTATTTTATACTTTCTCTTTCTTTTATATATTTTTAAAGATCTATTTATAATATAAAAGGAAGTCTTTAAAGTCTTTCTTATTATTAATCCTTTTCTCTCTCTAAAATACTTTTATACTTTATATTTTAAGCTTTAAGAGGGTATATAAGACTTTAAATTAAATTATAATATCTAGCTTATTTAAGTCTTTTACTTTATTAATAGTATATTTAAATTATAGCTACTTTAAGTATAAATAGAAAGAGTTAACTTAATTATCTTATATTAATATAATAAATAATATTAAGGTTATAGTCCCCTTAATTATAGCTATAATTAAACCCTTTAAGGTCTTTAATAAAGCCTCTTTTATATAATTATTAAATATAATTATATTAAGTATATTAAAGAGATATATTTATTCTATACTTAAAGTAATAAGTTATTACTTTATTATTATTTATTACTTTATTATTATTTATTACTTTATTATTATTTATTACTTTATTACTATTTATTACTTTATTATTATTTATTAAGCTATTTTTATTTATTAAGTTATAAATATTAATTAAAAGGCTAATTTACTTAATATAATCTTATTTATTATTTTTTTATATTATTTTATTAATTAATAATATATATTATAATAAGGCTAGCTTTAATAAATAAGAGCTAATTAGCTTATTAATATTAAATATATTATAAAGACATAAAATAAGGTTATATAAGCTAGCTACCTTTATACTTATAGTGCCTCTTTTCTTTATATAGCGCCCCTTTTTACTTTATAGTATTATATAACTTAATAAGTAACTTAAGCTAAGCCTAGGCTTAGACCTTAAGGACTAACTATTAATATATAATACCTTTAATTATTAATAACTTATTATAATACTAGCTTATTATAATACTAGCTTATTAAGTTAGAGGAGTATTAGGGGCATAACTATATTTTACTATATATATAACCCATCTTTATATTTCTAGGTCTGCGCCTTATTGCTAGCTCGCGCTAGCTAATTTTAGTATATAGGTATAGGATAGTAGCGCTATACTATAATACATGCCGATATCTTAATTAAATTATATCGTTATAACGTAGCTATAGCGCTATAGCGCTAATAGGGCTTAAATCGCTTAAAAAATATATTTCTATAGTTTCCCTATAATATTATTATATTTAAATATATATTATTCCGTTTTAAATCCCTTTATTAAGCTAGCTAGCTATACCGGCGCTTATAACTATACCTTTATTACTATTAATTATATTTACTACCCTTAACCTTATCTACCCTAGCCGTAGCGCTAGTAGGGCTTAAATTACCTAAAAAACGTATTTTTATAATTTCCTTATAATATTATAATATTAAAGGTATATTCTTCTACTCTAAGGTCTATATATTAAGTCCCTTAACTATATTAAGCTTTAGGCGTAATTAGGGTTATAGCTATATAGCTAGGATAACCTCGTCTTATAAGGCTAAGGTAGATATAGCCTATAATACTATTAAGGTAGCCTATAATACCGTTAAGGTAGCCTATAATATTATTACTATAGTTAATAATGCTATTAATATAGTTTATAATATTATAGACTAGCTATAAGTAATAGCGGCGCTATAAGCCTAGCTATAGCTACTTTATAATCCCCTTATAGTCTATAACCCCTTTAAGGCTAGCTATAATGCCTGTAATGCCTATAATAGCTATAAGAGCTTATCTTTAAGCTCGAACTATAAGTAGTTACGGTAGATACTTAGGTTTAAGGGTCGGGTCCCTTAACTTATAGTTTAATTAAGTTAATAGCCTTAAGCCTTACCCTTACCTTTACCTTAAGTCTCTTATAAGCTCTAGGTCTACCTCGAGCCTTAGCTTTATTATATAATATTAGCTTTAATATCGTTATTATCGGTATCGTTAATAATATCGTTTTTAGCGTCTTTAGCGAGCTTAAGGTATCGAGGGACCTTAAGCTTCTTATTAATAATATCGAGGTATAGCTAGCTATAGCTATTAGTTATAACGCTAGGGTTATAGATATTAAAGTAGCTATCTTTAAGGTTTTACTAACGATTAGTAAATAGGCCTAAAAGTAAGGTATTTAATAATATAAAGAGACGAATTAATAGCTTTTTAAGTTACTAATAGGTAGTAATTTAACTCTAGCGAAGCGGTATCTCCTTTATAAGGCATTTAAAGATCGTATAACTATAGGGTAAGCTATATTAAAGCTCGAAGTTATTTATATATACCCTTAATAGCTATGGCTTATATTAGTTAAGTATTATAGTGAGGGTAAAGCGATATTACTTAATAAGAAGGTTAATTACTAAGTATATAAGTTAATAACTTAACTTTCCGAGCTATACTTATTAAGCGTATTTATAACGCTATTTTTATTTAAATCTAATAGCTATTTAATTATATTTACGAGCTTTATTTATAAATATTATAAGAGGAGACTTATAAAGCTAAAAGAGGTCTATTATACTTATTATAAAATAGGACTTTATATCTATATAAATAGTCTTAACTAGACTATTAATCCTTTAGCTAAAATTATAATATTAATTAATATAATACTTTACTTATTACTTACGTTATAATATATACTCGCTTTATATATATTATAGGATATACCCTTACTTATAGCTAAAGGTCTTAATAAAGGCTTTTTATAAGTCTTTAAAGGTATTATAATTAACGATATAGATAACGGCCTAAAAAGCTTTATATATCCCTTAATAGTTATAGTTATTATTAGCTAAGTTAGTAAGAGTCTCGAGACCTTCTTATACTTATTATATCTACTCGAAATCGAGCTCGGGCTTAAAAGGCTTATAAAGGAAGTTTATAAATAGGCCGTTAGATAGGTTAGGGTTCTTATTAGCGAGGTTCTTATTAATAAGGTTATTATAACTATTTTTATCTTTTTAACGAGAGTTAATTTTACTATATATATTAGCTAATAAGTAGTATATATATAGCTATTATTATATATTAAGAAATACCCTTATAAGGGCTATATAAAGAGCTTATTCTTTATCTATAATAATAACCTTTAAGGTAGGTATATCGAGGCTTTTTCGTAAGTTATTAAGCTACTCGATAAGCTATTAGAAATAATGCTCTTTTTTGCCATTAATAAGGCTAAAGGTAAAGTTTAATAAGCTCTTTTAATCTATAATATTAATAACCTAAAAGAAGGGTATTTTAAAGTAATTAGTTTAGTATATATTATCGAGGCTAAGAACCTTAAGGAACTTCTTTTATATCTTATAATATTAAAGGTAAGTCTAGAAGATAGCTTTAAGATAGTTTTTATTATTAAGTAACTTATTAACCTTAATGCTTTTAGCCTCTTTAGCGTCTTTAAGGATCTTAATAAAGGCTTATATAACTATAAGGCTATTAAGATAGTATTTCTTAATAATTTAACGATTATTATAAATATCTTTCTTATAAAAGAAGCTATAATCTAAATTAACTTAATAGATAAGGTTAGCTATCTCTTAGGCCCGTAAGCTATACTCTATACCGAGCTCTCTCTCTTTCTCTTATTATATAGCTATACGCTAGCGATAAACGGTATAAATAGATAGATCTAGAGACTACCTATAATTATACTATACCTTAGCTACCTTATATACCTATTTCTAGTTAGAATCCTTAATAGACTTAGTGATAACCTTAATAAGGTAGTCGAGCTTTTAGGTCGCGGTCTTATAGATACCTATACTTCGAGATAGTCTCTTTAGGCTATAATTATATCGAAAGACGATATAGGAAGGCTTAGAGATGCCATTAAAGTCGTAAGGGTTAGTAGACGAGCCCTTAATAAAGGTAGCGCTATTTTCGTAATAGAAATCGGTTAAGAAGATAAAGAGCTCTTTAAATATATCGAAAAAAGGTAATAGCAATAAAGGAGGGATAGGTAAGCCGACGAAATTATCGTTAGCTACTTTATTTACGTTAAAATATCGTTAGTTAGCTTATTAGCGTTATAGCTTATAAGAGACTTATTAAGCTCGTTAGTAATAGGCTACGAGACGGTAGGAGGGTTAGACGGGTTAAGAAGAAGGTTAAGATCTATCTCTAGAGCTAAGGGCCCGTAAGAGGGCTATTTAATAGCTTCGTACGGCACGATATAGTATTAAGAGGCGTTAGCTATAAAGGCTATATAGTTACTTATTATACGGCTACTTTATAACCTCTTATTTTATAGGCTCTTACTTAGACTTATAGCTATATACCTTATTTTACTATAGCGGGCTAGGCGGTATAAGATTAGTTAGAAATTAATTGTCTATAGAGCGGGTTATATATACAGTAAAATATAGTTATGCTCCTAGCACTCCTCTTAAGTTATTAGCTTATTAAGTTATTAACTTATTAAGTTATTAACTTATTAAGTTATTAACTTATTAAGTTATTAACTTATTATAATTATAGATATAAGTTATATAAATATAATTATATAGAGCTTTAATTTATATATATAAGTATAAGTAAATAGAGATATATATATAAGTAAATAATAATTCTCTTATTATTACTCTTAAGTAATTATAATAAAAGCTTTAAGAATTAAAATAATAATAAGTTTTATAAGTTAATTAAATAAAGGGGGTAATAGCTATATAATTTAATAGCTATTATTATTATTATTATAAGTTAAAAACTAAAGCTTAAAGGTCTATATAATATTTCGCTAACGACTTACTAGAAGTATACTCCTTAGTAAGCCGGTTATTATATATATATTATATAGCTATTAATACTTTAGGTCTAGCCGACTATTATATACGTGTCGTAATTACCGATTAGGGCATTATTACTATTAAATCGTCCGCGAATTTCATTAAGTCCCCTCCCAATCCTGACCTCATTAACCCTTACCTATACCCAATCCCCGATAATAACTCGCCTCCTTTAAATGCCTCCCGCATAAAGCCATGCAAGTCAGCGCGTCTCACCCCGCGGCCGAGGGCGTACAGAAGCGGAACCGGCAAACCCTCTCCTGTATCGCGTGCCGTCGTCGCAAGACAAAATGCGACCGGCGGCTTCCGTGCGGCGCATGCGAGCGACGAGGCGTGGCCGTCGAGTGTCGGTTTAGCGGCGCGCCCGGCCTCGAGCACCGGCTGAAGGCACTGGAAGATATGGTGCGCAGTCTGGCAGAAGAAGACCGACCTACGCGCCTCGCCCCAGTCGGCGAGCCGGCGTCGAGCAACGGGCCGCGGCCGGGGAACCGTCTGCAATATCAGGGCGCGACGTCCTGGGCGGCCGTAGTGGAAAGCATCCGCGACATCCGAGACGTCGTCCGCGGCGGTGACGACGACGGAGGGTTGTCGGTGGAGGCCCAGGGCTTATCGCCGGAGATTGACCCCGCGCTCGGCGTCGTGGCTCCCGTAACGATGCGAGACGTCACCGACAGCCTGCCGAGCAGAGAGGACTCCGACAGGCTCGTCTCGGCATACTTCAACGCCAAGTTCCTCGCCGTTCCGTTCATCCACACGCACCAGTTCCGGCGCGAGTATGAGGCCTTTTGGCGGGTCCCGGCGTCGGCCAGCCTGCTCTGGACCAGCATCCTCTTCGCCGTACTCAGCGCGGGCGCCACGGTCTTAGGGTTCGCGGCCGGAAACGACGTGAGCAATCGGCACGGACCGAAAGAGCTCCTGGCCACGTCGGCTCGGTGCCTCGTCGCGGGCCGGTACCTCGATGCGAAGCCGCTGTCGGTCGAGGCTGTCTTGACATACGCCCACTGCCGCGACGTGCAGACACGCGACGCCGACTCGACGCTCTGGGCTCTGTACGGACTGGCCGCCCGTCTCGCCCAGAAGATGGGCTACCACCGCGACCCGGCCAAGGTGTTCCCCGACATGTCCCCCTTCGCGGCGGAGATGAGGCGCCGCGTCTGGTTCGCCGTTCAGGCGCCAGACCTGCTGTTTTCCTTTCAGCACGGCATGTCGCCCATCGTCCACGATGGTGAGTTCGACGTCGGCCATCCCACTAACCTCCTCGACGACGACTTCGACCAGGACACGCCCCTGCCGCTACCGCGCCCGCCGACCGACCCCACGCCGATACTAGCGTACAGACTCAAGTCGACCCTGTGCGAGGTGCTGCGCCGCGTCATGCGGCACGTCAACCGCCTTGATGCGCCATTGCCTTCCGACACGATGCGCCTGCACGCCGAGCTCCAGGCGTGGTGGGACTCGATCCCGCCCTGCCTGCGAAACCGCCCCATCCGCAGCACGGCCTTTACCGATCCCTACTACACCATCATGCACCGGGTTATGCTCGAGCTGCTCTACCTGAAGGCGCTGTGCGTCCTGCACCGTCCGTATATGAGCCGCGGTCACGGCGATGAGCACGCACAGTCTCGGCGAGTGTGCCGCGAAGCCGCGCTTCGAGTGATGGAGCTGCATGCAGATCTCGACCAGGAGATGGCCTCGGGCGGGAGGATGCACCAGGAACGGTTCATGGTGTCGAGCTTACTGCTGCATCACTTTCTTGTCGCCGCTATGGTCATCTGCCTGGACCTGAGCGAGTCGACGGACCTGAGGTAAGCTGCCCTCGCCATGGCGTGCCGTCGCGCTGACACCTCGTAGCGCGCATGACCGACATCGTCGCGTTGGAGCGCTCCGCAACGCGCTGCGCATATGGTCGATAAGAGACGGTGACTCGTCGGACGCTCGACACGCCTGCAAGGTGCTCTGCGCGATCTTGAATCGGGAAGAGGCAGGAGGCCACGCGGGGTCCAGTCTCGGGGCACAGACTCTCAACAAACCGTCAACTGGTCAAGGAGCCCTAGATCAGGACCCGGCAGATCTAGCAACTAACGACATAGATCTCGCCACCTTGGAGGTCCCATCGTTGAACAGGTTCTTTACGCCCGTAGAAGCGTTTGACTGGGTGAGTATGAAGTCTGCCCCACCTTCGTTGGCGCCTTGCTAAATAGCCACAGCCCGCTTTTGACCAATTCGTCTTGCTCAGGAACTCCCTGGACGAGCCCCCGGCCTGGACCCAACTAGAGTAGATATAATGGATGTTTAAATGATAGACAGTACCATAGCGAGTGGCTGCGTGCCGGCCAGGAAAGCCAGCCACGACACTGAAGATAGATACGCTAAGCGTGCCGAACCAGCCAGGATAAGCGGTGCACACGCGCACGAACGCTCCAGTTACATCGGCACTCCGTCCAAGACTGTACTGAGGAGCCTGCTGTTGGCGATCTCCGATGCTCTGGCGACGAGCTCCTCCGCGTCCCAGTTGGCCCACACCAGCTTGCCCCGTAAAAGCGCTGCCTCTTTGGAGGCGAGCCATACGTAGAAGTTGCCTGGGAGGTCCGCTGCCATGGGTCAGTCTCACGAGCTATAAAAGAGGCTGAGCCGCTCACCTGAGTCCGGTGCCTCCTCTTGGTGGCCATTCATGTCCGTCGCAACCCAGCCAGGCTGCACATTGACGATGCGGAGCTTAGGGTTCTCCACGGCCGCCACGTCCATGAGCTTCAGGGCGGCGGCTTTGGTCACCGTGTAGATCCCCATTCCCGGCGTCGGGGACCAGTGCGACATGGACGACGACGTGCTGAGGAGAACAGGCTCCGGGCCAGCAAGAGGCAAGAATGCCTGGAGCACATTTAACGGCGCCAGCACGTTTCCCTCGAAGGCGCTCGTCAGGTCCGCGGGCTTCAGATCGGCCACGGGCCCGGGCACCGGAACAGCGCCGGCGTTAGAGACGAGAATGTCAATGTTGCCGGAATGGTCGACGGTCGAGCGCAGAGCCCGACGGACGTCGTCCGCCCTGACCAGGTCTGCGACCTCATAACGCACCGCGACAGACTGCCCCGCCGCGGCTCTGATAGCCGTGACTCCCGCCTCGAGTTTCTCTACTCGGCGGCCGATTATGGTGACGGACTTGGCGCCCGCCCGGGCAAAGGCCGTGCTGATGGCCAGCCCGATGCCCGTGCCGCCTCCGGTGACGACGACGTTCTTGCCGGCGGCGGACAGCTCTGGGCGACTGGGCGAGATGAAGGGGTACGGCTGGGAGTGCCAGGTTTTAGTAAACGAGATGATCTTGGGAATCATGGTGTCTGCCAGTTCGGATCGTCGCTTGCTTGCTTGGACTGTGAGTAACGGTCCAGATGAACGTCGGGCTGTGAGTATTATATACGCAGGCTCAAGCGAGCAGTGGCGGCGACGTGGACTTGCACGCTAAAGTTCATCATCTGAGCGCCACTTGATGCGCTACCTCGTTCATGATTGCCGCGGAGAACAGCGATCCTCGTCGGCAGCCATGGCTGGTAGTTGACCGGACTTACGAGGGGGTACCCGTCTCCGGGGCTCCACTTGTCCGTGTATGTCCGCCCAGCGGGGCTGGGATTGCCTTATTAGCCAGCTTGTGGGCTCCGGCAAGCGCCGGCCGAATGGGCCGCAGAGGCACGGCTCTACGTGACTGCACGTCTCATTGGGAATCGGCCTTGGCCGGATCGCCTTGCTGATGCAATTCTCAATGCAAATCAGCTTTACTGTGACGTCTTGCTGTCGCGGGCTCCGCGACAAGATACGACGTTTACGCGATCGTGTCGGCCGTGGGTTCGGCCGTGCCCAGAGCTACGCTCCTTACTTAGACACCCTGGACCAACAATCGAATGACCAACCAACAAACCAACCCCTCCACTACACCGCGTCACACCCATTACTGCGCGGCTCCCGCCATCTCCTCATTCACTATCATTCAGCCTGCATTGCCCAGCTACTAAGAACATAACGAGGCAACTTCTACTTTGCCATTTATGGAGGATACGAGGCCCCTTAAGCGGGCTCGTCAAGCCTGTGGCCCTTGCCGGTGCGCGCCACGTCGGGACAACATCGAGGACACGGCTCATTATTTATACTGATATCCCGACGCAGGCGAAAAAAGTCACGATGTCCCGGAGAGCGCCCCGTCTGCTCATACTGCCAGCGCCTGGGGCAGGAATGCATATACAACGACCAGGAGAGCGAGAACAAGATGACACGGCTTGTTAACCGACAAATGGTCATTCTTGTGACCTCGTACAGCGCCCACGTAGGTTTTTCGCTGACCAGGCTGAACAGGAGCAACGCCTGGACAACCTGGAGGCACAAATGACCCGACTGATTGAGCAGTTTCTGTACGTTTACTAGATGACACTGTTGCACTTGTCTGCCCTGCCACATCTGCTCACTATGCAAATAGACCAGTCGCCACGGCGGCAGCTCGCCGAGAGGCGCTCCCAGCACGGACTTCGACTCCCGGCTCACTAATATCTTCAGCAGAACAGTGGCCGGCGAGGAGTGCTGGCCCGAGACGGGGACACTCCCCTGAGGCGGTGGACGACGAGGAATCGGGGCCGTTTGACCCAGCTGCCTCTCCTGCCGGCACCGTCAGTCTCCGCCTAGACGGGGCAGAGCTTCTTGTGGCTGGCGAAGCATATCTTACATGGTGCCATAGCCAGCCAATCGTGCTCTTCCGAGAAGAGACCTTCTTGGAAACCTTAGGGGCAAGGGACCAGCACCTCGTACTCGCGTTGCAGGCTCTTGGCCTGCGCTTCCCTCCGGGAACGCTCACACCAGACTTACAAGAGCGAGTAACTGCCATGGTCAATGTATCTCGTGGCCTTGCCATGAATGCAGTTGTCAACAGTCAAGTTGAGCTGTCAACCTTGCAGACTCTCTGTCTATTGAGCATAATAGACTTCGCAGGTGAGTAGCGTCGATACCGTCATAGGGTCACTGATGAGATTGCCGCTCAAAGTAACTGACACAGTCGGCGTGGGCAGACGGCAGACCAGCTCTAGCTGAAATGAACATCAGAGTAGCTTCAGGTCTTGCGGACAGCATCCAGCCAGGTTACACACTTGGGGACCCCCAGGAATGCAGCGACTGCATCAGAAGTATTGCAATGGTGCAGCACCTTCAGGGTTGCGTCTTCAATACAAGACTAAGTGATACGCTGGCAAAGTCCCATAATATTTCTCTACGACCTGGCGTCGCGAAACACCATGGGACTACGCGTGATGCCGCCTGGGTGTTGGACGGCCTTCCACAAACTCAGCTTGACAAAGGAATACTGAGATACACATATAAACTGAGCGAGGTATGGCACATGGCAAGGTCCTACGCTGCATCTGTTGTTGCATCTGATGCACCACCACCATGGAACGCTCAATCTGATTACTCGTCCGTCATGCAACGTCATCTCGAGATTGACAGCATGGTTCCCTTGAGATATCGGTTCTACGCCAATAGATTTAGCGACAAAACACCCGAGTCAATGCAGGAGCAGCGTCACTACTGGAGCCCCTACTTCTTCCTGCAGATCATTTACGCAACCATCCCCTGCCTACTGAACCACCCATTTCTCCTGTCCATGCGCCTTCGGAACTTCCGCCAAACCATGCCGCAAGCGTTTATTCACCAATCCTTCGAGCTTATAACCCGTCACGCCGGGTGGATCATGTATTTCATCGATACTGTGGGTAAGAAATCCATGCAACTGTCAGATCCAACACTGGCGCATTGCGCCGTTATTATCGCGACAATCCATCTACAGCACAGCTTCGTTCAGGAGCAGGGCCTACGCGACAGGTCCCAGGCCGGATTTGAGAAGTGTGCGAACTTTTTGCGCAACATGGGAACTATGTGGCCAAGTGCGGCTGTCATGGTATGCATCCACTCCGGGTTCTGAGGGTGGCCGTCATAGACCTGTGACATCCCAATAGCTGACCTGTTGTTTGACGGTATTGCAATCTAGTTGGAGAACCTACGACTACTTCGAGAAAGCGTAGTAGCAGATCCTTTACAGAGTATGGGCGACGGAAGCACTTCCGTGGAACGACCATGTCTATCAATAGACTCAAAACTTTTATGGAACATGTTGATATACGAAAGAGCAGGACGACATTGCGCGGGACTAGACCAGTCCATCTTTGGTTCCTCGCTCACGCAAGTTCAGACCACAGAAAGACGCGGTGAGGCTCATGAGACACTCGCTGCCGCGTATGACTTGGTCGGTTTTGCGGGGATCTCGGGCCACAAGACTGTGCCCAAGGAGTCACCTGTCTATGCGCCTGAAGAAAATACCACTCTAGGAGAGACCAGCAATGTTGCTGAGGGACCTGGCATCGCACCAACAACTCAAAATTCTTTCCAAGACCGCTATATAATGTGCTTGGATGGTGAGAGCAGTTTTGAGCCTCTCTTCCTACAGGCACATGAGTTTGGCCGGGCAATCGAAGAGTGGATGAGCTTATAGATCCATGTAAGCCGGCAGTAGTATCGCTTGATAACGTATAATAAATATATATATATATATATCACTGGCAATATATAGCAATTTTCTAAGTTTTCCTCGACGTATGGTATTTCACACATGCTCTATAGAGATGGAACCGAAAAGATCGAACATTAAAATCTTATCTAGTGTCTTACGCTATACATTAACGGGCAGACGAAAGAGTCTCGTACGAGCGAGCGGATGCAAGGCGTAGAGCGACGTGAAATCGAACGGCGTATATGATGATCCCTGATAATGCTACCATTGAAACTCCGGAGATCCGCTCAAGCAAGCCGCCCTCTCGAGACCGTCACAGAAATCCATCTCTTTCTGACTTTTAATGGTCATGTTATATTGCGGTGTGGCCAGCCAAATCTCTTTGCCGGCCTCCCCTTCTTGCTCCGAATGCCCCGTGACAAGTTTTCGGGTCATGGTCTGGAAGAACACTGGCCCCTTTTCAACACGAGGGTGTAGCTCGCCGGTCAGGAAGATTCCTGCATTTAGGTTCACTTGAACGGCGTTACAGAGGTCCTTGTCTTCCTTGAGAATCTGCTTAAAGCAGTCCCAGATGCCGTTGAAGTCGCTATCGCTGGCGTCATTATGTCGATAAACTTCGTACTCCATCTTGGTCTTACAGGGTGAGATCGGAATGCAACGCATTATATAGAAAAACGTGTTTCTAGAGACGTGCTGTTAGCGAAGACTTCGTGGCGCATGTTGCGTCTGCAAGAGACTGACGAGATGGTCATTGAAGCATTTGGATAGTAGAATGTGCTGCAGATGCCCATTCCCTCTTTTTCAGGCTTATCAACGTTGAAGTGCTGGATGTACCCGCCTGTTGTCTCAACCCAGTACTTTGACAAGTCCGTCAGTTTGTTGAGTGCAGGATGGCCCGTCGGGCAATGGTAACACTAGTTCCGCTTAGGGCTTTTACATTGCGACAGTAAAAGGACCAAGAAGATATCATATACTAACCTCGTTATAGTTATCCGCCAATGTCTTCCAGTTATAATCACCCTCCATCTCCCATTGATGGTCGAAATGGTAGTTGTCCAAATTGAAATCTTGTAGTCGAGTCTGCTCGTCGACGCCAGCGAAATCGTCTTTCCAAGAGATAACTGGCTTCGAACTTGAGTCGAGATTCACCCAGATGAAACCGAGCTTATCGACATGGACATGAATGGCAAATAGATTATTGGCTGACTGATCAAAGCCTGAGAGTTCCTGGTATTTAGGGGCCTTGGCCAACCTGCCGTCAAATCCATATGACCAACCTTGCGGACGGTTAACAAAGTCACGAAATCCTCGTAAGATAGTCATCCTGAGCGTACCATGGTATTTGCAGGCAAGAGTTGAAAGTTGCCCAGAATTCTTCTCAACAAGTGGATAGGCCCTGTGTCGGCATACGTTGTGGTGCGCCCGAATCTGCCCTTCACGGTCCCTAATAAGGAAGAAGCTAAACCCGGCTTCGATGATCCTAACAAAATCGCCTGGACTAACGAATCTAGCCTTATGGGAGACGAGTAGCCACCTGTTGGAGAATATGGCTCGCCTTTCTAACTCATACATCGCTGATGAGCGATACCATGACGGTGGGAGAGCCCGAGCCGGCCGCGGTTGCTTGTGCCCTTTGCTAATGCCCTTACTAAGAGCGAACCACCGACTCATTTTAATCACGAAATGCGTGTAACGGCTTCAGTCTTCATGTTCCTGGGATAAGCCACTACACCCGAGAGACGAGTGGGTCGTAAGAGAACTCTGTGTGCCGCACAAAGATTCCCAGTTCGTAGCAGTTCGATTTGACCCAAGGCACACATCCTAGGCTGCCATAGCTTTCTCTGCTGCGCGGCGACGGACTGCAGGGTGGTTCATCCGGAAAGCGGTCCGTCCCCCGGGCCCACTGTCGTGAGCGAAGCTTGACCGGCTCCACTTCCGTGTGAGTGGGTGGGTGGGTCCGGAACAGGGACCGGCCGCCTAATACAACATCCTGCTACAGGAATTGGCGGGGTTAAGCTGTGAATGATAACCATAATTGTACAGTATTGTAGTGTCGGGATCCGGAGGAAGAAGCCCGTCACCACGGTCGACCTGAGCTGCAAGCACCACTCACGTCATGACGTCTCGGAACCCTGTGCCGAAGAATGAGACGATTCTCATCGTAGGTGCGGGCATTTTTGGGCTGTCAACGGCACTGGAGCTCAAGAAGCGCGGATACCAACATGTCACCGTCATCGACAGATACCTACCGCCCGTTGTCGACGGCAGCAGCGTCGACATCTCACGAGTGATCCGCATCGATTATGCCGACCCCTTGTACGCCCAGATGGCTCGCGAGGCCCATAAAGGCTGGACCTCCGAATTCGAGAAGCACTACTATCCTTCCGGCTTTGTCATGCTGGCGAAACAACCCGGCCATCCCTACCTAGAACGGACCAAGGGGACGAGCGAGTCTCTTGGCGCCACTCTTGAGGAGTTTAAAGATGCAAAAGCAGTTCTTACACGGTATCCCGAGATCCAAGCCCGGTTGGAGGGTCTCAAGGCGTATGTCAACAAGGACGGTGGCTGGGCGGATGCCGAGAATGCTGTACGGCAGCTAAGCATACAATGCAGTCTGGCTGGTGTCTCGTTCATCGTGGGTCCGCGAGGCCGGGCCATCTCTCTGAGGTATGATGGTAACCGTGTCGTGGGAGTGAACGTCGCCGAGGGTGAGCCCATTTTGGCCGCACAGGTGGTTCTTGCGACGGGCGCCTGGACCAACCGATTGATCCAGATCGAACACGCAGTGTCCGCATCCGGGCAACCCGTGGGCTTCATCCACCTGACGCCTCAGGAATCAAAGGGTCTCCAACAGATGCCTGTCATTATTAATCTCAGTACCGGCGTCTTTGTGTTCCCTCCAACTCCAGGAACCAACATCCTCAAGATCGCCCGGCATTGCTATGGTTTTGCGACGCAAGTTGCTGTCGAGGGCCAAGATTACCTAGTTTCCTCCCCAAAGCGTGACTCGAGTGGTGTCGAGAAGTCATATCTCCCAGAAGACGCAGAGGTGGCACTTCGAGAGGGCCTGCGGGATCTGATGCCCGCCTTTGCACAACATAAATGGACAAGTCGCAGACTCTGCTGGTACTCCGACACACCAGAGGGCGACTTTGTCGTCGATTACCATCCAAGGATTGAGGGTCTTTTCTTCGCTGCTGGTGGAGCTGGACAGTACGTATCCTGCTACCATGCCACCCCCTAACCCATGGTCCGCGGGGCTAGCAGCTGACTTTCATTCAGTGCCTTTAAGTTCATGCCTATTCTTGGGCGTTATATTACCGACTGCTTCGAGAATAAAGCTGCGGCGTTCATTCGGCATAAGTGGAGACTTCGAGAGCATTGTGGTGTTCGGAGCAATATGAAAGCAGGGGATGGCAGCAGAGCCGGTCCGCCTATACGGACTCTGACAGGAACTGAGGTTGCGAGGCTATAAAATATAATTCTTGGTGTAGCCCACGCCAAAAGCTGTCCCTAGCCTTTGATGTATACACCTCCTGCCTCAGATAAAACTCCTACAAGCAAGTTACAAAGAGGCTCGGCAATAAGATGACCAGAATAATCAGTTCCACCTCTCTCAAAATAGCGAGTGAAGGCTTATGTACCCCGTGTCGGCTCCAGTAGGAGTAGACTGGGGACTTATTACTCAAGGTCGAGCTGTCACGCCCAACCTGGGGCAGAAAATAGAATCTACCTCCAACTCTATGCCGAGCCTTTAGCAGCCTAACCTCGCCAGAGTTCGGGCACGTCGTAACTTAATGATGATTGAGGCTGGCCGTGAGTTGTTCGGGCATGTATTGATTGCAGAGTGGTAACGGCACGGCAGTAAGGACGTTAAAACTTCGAGACGGCGACTGGAAGCTCGGCGACATCGCATTTAACGCGGCCCCGTGTCCTCCAGAGAATGCCCATATAGTAGAGGTTCGTTGTCCCCCCCGCAGCAGAGACAATATCAGTACTGTTGAGCGTTAGTATGACGCCAGCCCAAAAATAGTCACGGTACCCCGGGCCGGAGGCGGTCCGGGTGGCCGGGCTTCTCGCGCCTTAGTAGGTCTACGTAGCTCATAGAACTGCGGTTTTACTTGAGCGGCTCATAGCGGCAATAGCGAGACCTCAGTTGACTAGAAGCTAGTAGAGCATTGCCAACCACTGTACCGGATAAAATGCAGGAAGATCACGAAACTTCTGAATCTAAGCGACTTCGATGTACGATAATCGGAGCTGGGTGAGTACTTGGCGTCCCCGAGCCTCTCCATGCTGATCATGACTCGGAAGCTCCTAGGGTTTCCGGAATTCTAATAGGTGACATCTGAGCGGCATAGACTTGACGTAGGTGAGGTTTCATGGCTGACTTGGTGTAGCCTATAAGCTAAGAAAGCATCTTCGGAAATACATCGACTTCCGTATTTTCGAGAAATCTGCTGAACTTGGAGGTACTTGGCATGAGAACAGATATCCGGGTGAGAGCTTCCAAGATCTCACTTACCGCTGCTGCCTCGCTGATTATTCTCCAGGCTGTGCTTGTGATGTGCCATCGCACTGCTACCAGTTCTCTTTTTGTCCTAACCCGGACTGGTCAACGGTGTAAAGCAGCCCGGTGGTCTAAATTTTACTGCGTTGGCTAAACTATGGTGGCTAGTTACGCCTCGTCGGAGGAGATCAACGCTTACCTCAAGGGAGTTGCACGCTACTTCAACCTCGATCCCTTTATCACGTATAACAGCAAAGTCAAACTCGCGCGGTGGTCCGCGAACACCAGCACATGGACCATCGAGGTCGAGAATGGCCCGTGTGTTGAGTCAGAGATCCTCATCAACGCTTGCGGCATCTTGAACGACCCTCGGATGCCTGACATCGAGGGCCTGTCGACATTTGCTGGGCCCCTTCTCCACACGGCAGCCTGGGATAGCTCAGTTGATCTTCGGAATAAGAAGATCGGAGTCATCGGGGCTGGAGCAAGCGCGATTCAACTTCTTCCTCAGATCCAGCCCTTAGCAGAGACGATACAAATTTACATCCGGACTCCATCCTGGATCTGTCCACCTGTTGGGCTACCGGCGGGTACTACCGCAAGCCACGTTTACAGCAAAGAAGAGCAGGAGATGTTTAGACTGGATGAAGAAGCCTACTTGGAGGCCCGGAAGCAAATGGAAAACCAGTTTAATGGCATGTTCCGCATTTTCATCAAAGAAAGTCAGGAGCAAAGAGAAGTACGTGCAAGCCTTGAGGCGCGCATGAGATCAATCATCAAAGATGAAGCGCTGCAGGAGCTGCTTATTCCCAGGTTTGAAACGGGCTGCCGGAGAATTAACCCAGGCGAAGACTTCCTCGTCGCCCTGCAGAAGCCTAACGTGGAACCCGTGTTTGATCATCTCGACCGGGTGACAGAAAAGGGAATAGTCGCGGGCGGCAAGCTTTACAAGGCAGATGTCCTGGTGGCTGCGACTGGTTTCAACACATCATTCAGGCCACGATTTCCTATTATTGGTCTCAAAGGTGTCGACTTGCGGGATCTGTGGGCTGAGAACCCTGTGTCGTATCTAGGCACTGGTGTGGCAGGGTTTCCCAACTACCTCATTTTCTTGGGGCCAAACACGCCAATTTCGAACGGAAGTCTTATGGGTGAGTGTCGGTGGACGCTAATGTTTGAACCGGCTGAACGTCTTATACGGCGTCTAGGATCTCTCGATGCTACCAGTGACTACTTTATTCGCATCCTGCGCAAGGTGGTACGGGAGCGCATCAAATCGTTCGACGTGCGGCCAGAGGCTGAGCAGGATTTTGCTTCTCATACACAAACAATAATGCGAGACATGGTGTGGACCGGGGCATGCCGCAGCTGGTGTAAGTTGAAGCATCTCAAACGCAGAGTTCTTGCGCTGTCATTCTGAGACCTACTGCAGACAAGCAGGGAGTGGATGGGAAAGTGACTGGCCTGTGGCCTGGAAGCTCACTCCACTATATGCAGGTTCTCTCCGAGGGCCGCTGGGAAGATTATGCTTGGGAGTATGAGGAAACCCGATACACGTACTGGGGCCACGGGATCTCCTGGGTTGAGAGTCCAGAACTCGACCCACTGGGACTGGATGAGCGGGAATGGTTCATGACAGCAAACACCATCGCGCGTAAAGCGTCGGACTTGAGTTACTACCTCTGGAAGGGCTCACCGTTACCTAAGGGCTTCATCCCCAACATAGACTCTACGCCGGGCGGATTGGGACTCAACGTCGATGGAAAACCCGCAACATGTCCTAAAATTTCAGACGGTCCCTGAGTGGGTTTTGGATCGAGTAGATTACACAAAGTTACGACAATATAAAGCGATTATTGGAACGAGTCTTGAATAGAATAGAAACTGCCGGCGCTTGTGTGAGAATGATATTAGATCGGTTCATAACGAACTATTCTCCTCCTATAGCGGCACGCCGAACCGAGTTGAAATGCTAAAGCCTGGGTAAAGTTGTATTGTATGAACATAAGATATGCATGTGGCATCCCTACTTATCCTCCTACAAGTAGAGTGGCCGCTACAGTAGTATTGTAGTGCCAATAGCAGCCTAATACGGCTCAGTCGGCAAGCGGGGCAATAGGCGTAGGAACGGGCTGCAGCACCTACCATAGCCACGGACTGCGACGGTGGAGCCTGCGCATCCGGCTTTACTTCACCATTCCCATTACCCATGCAGTGATCTGGCGTATCCAGCGCAGGTTTGCTGTACTGCCAGTCTATCCACTCTTGCGGCTGAACATGACAGTATCTACTGGCAAGATGAGGGCGGACAGCCCAATGACAGCATAGCACCCGCACGCCACCCAGATTGGGGCAGATGTTTTAACGTCGGCGAAAGTGGCGATAAATGGCGCAGTCAAGGAAGACAAACGGCCCATGGCCATGAGGAGACCGGCACCGAGGCCACGGTGCTCGACCTCGAGTGCTTGCGGAGTGTAGCTGAGGTAGGTGATACATCAGATTCGTGTTCAATACAACAAGGCTCTGCAATGTGACCGTAGGATTTGCGTACCCGTAGAGAATGGCATAAACAGCATTCAGCCAGAAGCCAGTCATAGAAGAGAAGGCAAGATTCTGTGCCTCACTCTTGACGGTGGTGAAGGCACCCGAGAAGGCAACGCAAGCAGCAGCCGTAATAGCCATGGATATCCTGGAGCGCAACCGCGTGGAGACCATATACATACTTACTACGGGTCCGAAGATCCCGACGACGGAGGACACGGTGAAGTCGCGATATGTGATGTAGTTGCTTGTGTTGCCAAAGGCCGCTCCATTTGCTGCGAGGTAATATGGCAGAAAAACAATGAAGAGCGGATATCTGCTGGTCATTAACAAGGCTTCCAGCGAACACATGAGGTGTTGCCTGGAGTTTCTTACGCAATCCCGATTAGGGTCCACATGACGCCCAGGCCAATCATCAGCCGGAGTCTCTTGGAACCATGAAAGAGCAAGCCGAGTCGCGTGATATTTTGTTTGAGGGTTCTAGTGTGGCGCTTGCTGCGCATTGACGGGATGAAATCGTTTACCGTCACGCCATAAGCCGAGCGGTTCGCGGCGCTGATATGGTTGAGGACATCGACTGCCTGTTGGATCTCCCCTGTGGCCATTAGCCATCTAGGAGATTCCTTTGACCGGAGTACAAAAGCGCGAATGCAAGACATGATCAGACACAGGCCACCAAGGGTGACATATAGGTATCGCCAGCCCATGTTTTCCGACTTATGACAGTTTTCGGACGTTGATCCGGCTTCGCATCCAAAGTTAACTAGCAGTGGCCATGCTGCCGGTACGTTCAGGTCAGTCGCGTTGGTAGCAGCACCGGCAGGCGACCGTGGAAGACTTACCAATGAGGCCAGTCAATGTGTTGCCCAGGCCCCAGATGCATGCCAGACCAGATACCATGAACGACCATTTCCGTGGGATGCTCTCCACCAGGATAGCGAGATCAATGGCCACTGTCACGCTCTTACCGTTAGAGGATCACGTCACGTTGAAGAACGTCTTATCGGAATCCACTTACGATTGCCACCAGCAAAAAAGGAGGACGACGCAACCCACCAATTGAGTGCAGCCCAGTTGGACGAGCTGGCTGCAAGCAGTGTGACGATGGACACACCGAAGATAGACAGCTGCCAGATGGCACGCCTCCCAAAGTTGTCTGCGAGGGCTCCTAGTATAACAGCACCGACAAGGAGGCCGGAGTACTGCGACACCGGTAGGAGAGTTGCATACTTAGGACTGAACTCCATAGATGCCTGAGGTGTGACTAAAGAGATGGTCACCAGCAACATCTGAGATGCAGTACACCGTGTTAGAAACATACTTGACGATTGCCACTTTTTCAAGAACATGGCAGCTGTGACTCGAGAGATCTACCTGGTCCACAAGGAATCCAAACCCGCACGTTATAGCCAACTGCCACTGGTACCTGCCCCAACCAATGGCCTCAATTGCGTCGTCGACACGAGCAAGGTTCGCGTCCGTACTGTCAACACCCGGCATGGTACTGCGATCTTGACTGGATTGGCGATCAACCCCGAGGGGCTTCTCGATTACCGCAATCTCAACATCGTTGTGGGAGGTCGTCTTCTCCATGCTGTGAGACTTTGAGCTGGCAGTGGAAGCCAACCGTTGAATGGGTGGCGCGATCAGACGTAGAAATGCGCTTTGAGCGACCCGCGACGAGTGGCCCGGCTTGTGTGACGCTAGGTACAAGGCAAACGGGGCTGGCCTTTGAGATGGATAATATTATACGATTCAGGAGGTTGAAGTGGAGATGCAGTTCCCTCCAGGCACACGGACCGTCCCTTGGCTCCCTGGGCTTGGCCTTGCAGGGGTCCATCCCTGCAAGAATCTGGGGTTGTTGTGGCTGGGCGCAAATGTGGGCCCGGAACCGAGATTCAGCGGATCAGTGAGGGGAATGCGGGACACGGACCGGCCTCCGTGATGTTTCCCAACCTGTGCTTGGCTGGTGCAGGAGCCACCCAACGCGACAAGCGAGATCATATGTAAGATCTTAAGATGGGTGCTATGGGTTGTGGACTTTGCCATGGTCAGACAGCGTCACAGCACACTGAGGTCAACGATGGCTACATCAGTTAATTGTTATTTCCTTAGGCCGACCCGGGATGCACCCAATAATCCGTTGCCTGTTCTCCACTATCAGAATGTGTTGCCCAAACCTCTCACAGAGGACAGCGCAAAAGATTTCCTCACTGCAAACAAGTGGGAGCATAGAGTACGCCAATCATTGGACTACTACATAACTATTACGAAAGTATAACTGACGGCTGACTCCTGGGTATGAGGGAACAGGGTACTTGGGGCCATATATCTACCAGGCATTTCCACCCAAACAGCCACGAATGCTACGGTAAATTGACGCTTCATAAGTCTTTGGTTCCTCATAGCTAAAGGGTACCTCATCCGTCGCCTCAAGGTGTTTTTCGCGGCTACTCCAACCTATTGATTGGACGGATACAGGACGGCAGTGGAGTCGAGGTTAACGTCAAGGCAGGAGATGTTATTGTTCTGCCGGCGGGTACAGCGCACTCGTCACTGAAAAGCTCATCGGACTACTCATACCTCGGTGTTTATCCACGGGTAACTGAAACCGTTTCATGACCTTTTGACTATTATTTGTTAGACACTGAAACTAATGGAGCTCTAGGGTTGCCCACGCTGGCGCAATGAAACGGGCAAGAAGCCAGCGGAGAGTTTTAGAGAGGATATCCGACAAGTTACCATGCCCGAGTGTGACCCAGTCTTTGGCGATAACGGGCCTCTTATATATCTCTGGAATGGGGAGATTGTAGCAAAACTATAGATCTAGGGAGCGAATGCTTCATACGTTTTAAATATGGAGAATAACCTCGGCTAGCTGAGACAAAATATTATAAACCCAACAAGTAATAATCATCCAGGGGTCTAGATTGATCTACTGTATATAGTAGCATGCTCCTGTATGTATAAACTATCACTAGATCTTGAATGTGATTAAAATACCTAACGGCTAGGAGCGCCTCTTCAGATATGACAACTAGACGTACGACTCATGATCCCACTCCTCCAGCTGTTTCGACAAGCATATCCACTGTTGCCAAGGATGGCTCTGCGCCTTGAACCACATATATCGGAGACTAACACCCTCGCATCGGGCCGCGTAGAACCACGCATCTAGACCATAGATCGATACCTTGACTCGACCTTGGTAGCCTTCTCCGTCGGATAAGGGGGTCGCTCTTGATGATGGAGAGTCCCAGTCGGCATCGTACACCCAAACCCAAAAGTTTGGGAGAACGTTGTGGGACACCTCGTCGAGGCTCGCAAGGAGTGGCCCACAATCCACTACGATGAATGTGTTCTGCAAGAGTTCTGGGAAGAGAGTGAATCCCTGTAGCATCTAAAATGTCTTCTCGTCTGTCAATCATCCGGCGTTCGAGTTACAGGCATCAAGGCCGCGATGGGACAACGACTTACGCTCTCACTGCGCGGTCCGCACAAAGGTCTCCAGCCGCAGGCCCGGAGGGCCAGTCCTCGGTCCAAAGACTCTCCATCAAATGTCTGTTTCCACCGCAATGGACACTTCTCAAGCATGCATGAACCATGGAACGTTCGTCCCAGCTGGCATAGGGTACGAAACGGGTCTGTTTACGGATAGTTTCCCAATAATTTGCCAAATCGTGACCATGCTTCCGCTCAACGTCACTGGTTTTGTAGAACACAAAACCCCAAGGGTGCATGGCGCCGACAATTTGCTGAATCCAAAATGGAGGTGAGGGACTAACCTGCTTCCAGATCCTCTTTGTGGCATCATCATCCTGTTCTATTCGTGCGAGTTCCTCAGTCGACAGATTCTGGAGTACGGCTATGAACCACCTAGCGTTCCTGCGGGCCATCTTCTCTTATTCTGTACGGACAATCTCTTTGACGCGCTCTGTCGGAGTTCGGAGCTCTTCATCACGTAGTTGAGCGTGATGTACGTCATGTATATCATCCTCTTCCTCGATAAGGCGCACGTCACAGATAACCAACCTCCATGCACTCGAAATCGCGGGAAAGCGGCCATCCTCCGGATTTGCTGCACCAGAGATGAGATCCTTACGACCCTTAACCCGGTAGTTCGTGAGGCGTTGCACCATGGCCTGTTCATCCCGGAGGTAGCATGCTCTACCAAGCACGGCGTCTCGTAGCGCTCCGGATCTCATGCTGCAGTCATTGCGCAGTTCCCAAACTCTACCTTGAGCCAACGGGCCGGCTGGGCGCCATGGGTTTCATTTCGTGCGGTCGGCTGGCCTGTGCTGCAGCAGCCGGCAGCCCACGATGACTGCAATTGGTATAGCGCAAGACTCTGAGGCTTGCGCGCAATGGCCGGATATGCTCACCTCTAGCGCACGAGCCCGTTCGTAGGCGAATGGAGACATGGCGTTTGGTAGATGGTAGTCTTCATTTACAACGTAGGGGCGTCTTCGGAGATAGCAAGTAAGTCCCCTCCACCTTTGAACCTCTCTATAATATCTGCTTGCACGGATAACATCACTCTCTCTGTCTGGTTTCCCATCTTACTCAGTTGACGACATCGTTCAAAGTCTTTTGCGTTGCGCTTGTCTCCACGTGCCTGTTCTGTTTGCTCCCAGTGACCTTTGGACAGCGAGACGAGCGTGGTAATTCGGCTCCGAGAGATGTCATAAACGAGGGAGCAGACGGTGCCGGTCTCCTCCAGCCAGTTCACCTGCCACACTTCTCCAGGCCTGACACACTGGTACGTTGCCTTCTGGTAGCTCACACGCCCCGCCATGGGCCCACTGCGGATGGCATAAACAATACGTGAGTCCGAGAAGAACCACATCTCGTACCGCCATCTTTCTGGCTTTCCACTCTTATCCTGGGCGTTATAGTCGTACAATAAGTGCACATCGCGAATTTCGCGGTCGAATGACGGATCAAGGTCAGTATATGTTATATACTGCGGCAGGAGCTGGTTGGTAGGCGTCATTCTTGCAATGCCTTGATCACAGGCGAGGCAAGGTTTCTTGACAAAGTGTGGATGCGAAACGAATTAGTTGACAAGAGCCGATGCTGTCTCGTACTTGTCAATAGCGTGAAGTATATATATATATATCGGAATGCTTTCTGTTTTGCAAAACGAGTGCAGTAATGTGCTAGACAAGGAAGTGGTATGATACGGGAAAGTGAACATGCCACTGGCGCTCAGGGCCACCGTTCATGTTGCCCATTGACAGGGCCTGGCGAAGTGAGAGGCCAAGGCCAAACAGTGCCCCTTGCATACTTCCTCATCTCGGCGCAGCTGGAACAGCATATTCATATCACTGGGCGATAAAGCCCCCGACCTCTACGTGAATTCTGATGCACTCACGTGGTGTGACGGACATCTTCTGATCGCATGATACCCCCCTAGCATGCTCTACCAAGGTCTCAGGCCCCTCACCGCCGAGTATCTCCTGATTCCCTATCCTCCAAGCGGAAGTTAGCCTGCTCACAGTCAAAGCGGCGGCGCGTTCGGATCCTCCATGCACTGATCAACTCGCATGATCTGCTTACCGGCAGCCTTAGCCTGCCTGATAAATTCAGGGAAATAGTTGACCGTCGAGTTGTACGAAAAGTGCATGACGACCAGGTTGCCTCCTTTTGCAACGTCGGACTTGAAGGCGTCTACTTGCTTCTCCGGAGTACCCGTCTCTGCCCACAGCCAATCCTGGACGTCAACACTCCAGTTGATGATGTAAGCCTTGTCCGATCCTGATGCAGCTGCCCATCGCTGACGCATGCGCGCACCTTCGACGCCGAAAGGTGGCCGGAAGTAGGTCGATCTCTCGCCAAAGGTGCTTGACATTACCCTGTAATTCTCGGTATACTCCCAGTCGATGCTGTCAATGCTTGGGAGTCCCTCCATCCTTGGGTGCGAGTAGGAATGGAGCGCTATCTGGTGGCCCTCGTCCTTCAATTGCTGGTAGAAGCTGGCCATACCTGTCGAGGGGTTTTCGAGCACTGCGCCGACCGCGAAAAAGGTCACCTTGATGCCTGCGTCGCGAATGATCTGCGCCAGCCTCGCAGCGTACTTTGGGTTGCCATCGTCTATGCCGAATGCAAACGAGTTGGGCCGCGTGCAGGCAAATACGAGGGTACCTGAGGGTAATTTTGGGGGTATGCCCACGCCCGGGGGAATCGAGGGGATGATCTCAACCTTGGTCAGAACGAAAGGATCTGTGCTATAGACTCCTCTGATGGCGATACTAGTAGCGCGCTGTAAGTTGATCTTGAAGTGCGAAATCGGTATGTAGATATCGTTGCCCACTGCGTACCGACCGGCCTCAAGGCTGTCCCTCGTCTCGGGATTTGGTGCCATGCCGCCGTTGCACTGCGAATTGTGTTGTTGCAATGAGACTGAGAATTTCGTGTGTCCCGAGTAAGCAATGTGCAGGTATGAGCTGCTATAGCTGCGCATGTCTCGACAACCACCGCTGAGTTGTGTAGTAAATGCGTAGTCGGGACCTGGAGCAACGATCGTCACGCGGTTTGTGCCCCAGCTGAGGCTCATCTCACTGCCACCATGCCAGAACCCAAGTGAGTTTGTGCTTGGGTTGCTGAAAGTGTCGATAACAAATCCCGAGATAGTAGCGGCAGGTGCCTCGACGGTCTCTGCTGATACCACTGAGCTGGTAGTCGTGGGAACTGGCCAACCGTTCGGGATGCTGCCGCAGTAGAGTGCTAGCGGGCCAAGGGTGACCGGCTTGTTGAGTGTCGAGACAACGATCGACCTCAGCTTGGTCAAGTTAACGCCGCTGAATTTAGACCAGGCAAGGCTATAGAGTTTCTCGGTTCCATCGAAGGTCCATCCTAATTGGGTCGTTGTCTGGGACGACCACGCCGTCGCTGCGCCGTCGCACGTTGTTTTGGACGATAGTTCGATCTTAAACGTCGTTCCGACTGCAGCCTTTATCTGAAGGGAGATGCCACCGTACTTGGTGGCGTCCACACACCCAACCTGCGTATAGAAATACGACGACGTGGATTTTGGCGTCAATGTTATGCGATTGTTACTAACGACCATGGACTGCATCGTACCATCATCACCGGTCGGCAGCAGGAGTGCGTTATATTGCAAGAAGCTGAGGCGCGACTGCGATGCCCAGTCATCCACGAGGAGGGGCGAGCACGATGGTGAAGTCGATGGCGTCGTAGCAACCTCAGTCGTTGTTGAGCCTGTCACGGTAGCCGTGAGCGAAGTAGCTGACGTTGAAATAGACGCATCCGTGCCAGAGGGCGCTGCTGAGGATAGAGTTGTAGATGATAGCATCGTAGTGGCCGTAAATGTAGTGGATGGCGATACGATAGATGTGGTCGTAGTAGATGGTAGTGAAGTAGTTGTACTTGTGGTGGGCCGTATCGAAGTCGATGTGCTCGCAGTGGATTGCGTTGAAGTCGATATACCTATGGTAGACTGAGTTGGTGGAGTAGATGTGCTTAGAGAGCTCTGTGTTGGAATGGATGTAGTTAGGGTGGGCTCCGTTGAAGCAGATGTAGTAAGCGTGGACTGCATTGATAGGGTGGACATGCTTGTGGTGGATTCTGTCGAGGTAGTTGCCAGGTTAGTGGATGACTTCGATGTGCTCATACTTGTTGATGGCGTCGTGGTGGTGAGCAGAGTTGCTATAGAGCCCAGAGTCAGCACATATAAGCGATAGCCTAAGGAAAACAGGCCCATCGGCACTTACTTGCAGAGGACATCGGCCCTTGAGAGCAGGCAAACGAGACCTTATCCAACTGCCATTGCTGGGTGGACGAAAATGACATCATGACAATGGACAGGGCAGCGTTTAGGTTCGCGCCGGGGAAGCTATTAAGCGGGATGCGGAGTTGCTGCCAGCTCCCGGTAAGGCTGGTGACCCTGAAAGATGTTTTCGTACTGGCCGTTGACGAACAGCTCGATGCCCACTTGAGTTCAGCTGTAAAGGCTGCACCTGACACGGGAGCCTTGATCTCAAACTGTACGTGCGTATACGAGTTGGTCTGAAGCGCTTGGCAGGGGAACGTCTCGTAGTAGTACGCTCCGCTCTTCGGGGTGAAGCTGAGGATTCCGCCAGATGCAGAGATACTTGCCATGCTGGCATCGTCTGCTCAAGTTGGTTAATCCAATGGCAATAGAGCATCGCACCAACCGTATGTCTGGAGCCATACCCGACGTCCACGAACCGAGGTTGTTACGCTTCGTTGAGAATGAGTTGGTGAACTCATCCACAACCAGTTCAGATGTGCATGCCGCGGCGGCAGCCACTGCGCCCAAGGCTACCACCATCAGGTGCCGAATTCTGGGTGTAAACATTGTCCTAAAACGCCTATGATCGGCGTTCGGCCAGATGAATGGACTCGATGGAATAGAGTACTGGTCAAACCCCGTCCAGCGATGGGCACGGGAGATTAGAAGCGCAATGACTGGCGGTGCGCCCCTACTCTATTCTCAAATGACGGCACAACAAGCCTTCAAATAGAGTCATCAGAGCTCCGAACAGTGGGATCGAGACCTCTGGGTCGCTCAGGCATGAGCTGCCGGGAGACCCGGGCGCCGGGTATGTCATCGAGCTGTGGCATGGTGGCTCGTTCGTTCAGCGCGGGCGTCAATAATGCATGTTATTCCGTGCCGCCAGAAAACGTCAATTCAGATGGCCGCTCAGGGCGGTCGCGACTCATCATGTCGTGGACGGACGTTGGATCACCTGACCCATTGGTGCTGTGCGCACCTGCAGGCTTCAAGGGCAGACTTCCCCGCATGGTCCAGCCGGCTTGCGTTCTACCGTGACACTGCTGCGTCGGATGCTCCCAGCTGAGTTGAGGCATCGCCGATGAAAACTCGACCCACAGGAGACACAAGCTCATACCCCAACTGCAACGTGCAAGTCCATTCAAGTTAGAGATGGAAGTCGAGGGCGATCAAATATCGCGCTTGGCGCTCAGGGTGCTCCAAGCCCAAGAGGATCCAATGAAAAGCCTCAACAGCCCTTGGGGAGCTGATAGCTTCTAAGCTTAATTTTAGGCGAGCAGGATGTGGGCGCTAGGGGCGCTGTCCCGGTTCTAGCGAACCTTGTGTTCGGCAGCCGGGGTTTATTTGCTAGCGTTCCCAGAAGGCTCCCCCCGGACTACCAGTGAAGTCGAGCAAGACTACCTCATGGGGATTCGTACTCTCACGGGACGAGGACCAGCCACGTCCTTTCTGTTTGTGGCGTGAACTGAAGCTGAGCAGTCATTTCAATTGTAGCGAAGTCTTCTTCAGCGGGCGGATTCTCGCCAGAGATCCGTCGAGCAGGGCATTCCATTCTTACCGCATCTCAGTTCATAGTCCCCGAAGCTCAACACTGTGGGTGCCTCAAAACGGACTGAGGGGGAGATTCAATCCAGCTACGGCGGTTGTGCTTAGTACAAATATATGAACTCATCGTTTTGCCCATCAGTCAAGTCGTCAAACGCATTGTCCCCTAGCCTCCCGGTCTCTGTCATGTCTGCCTCAGTAAATCCTTCATACGAGCTCGTCATAGAGTGATCCAGGATGGAGGCATGTTTGCCGTTGCGCACCCTCTTCTTGGCCTGGACCTTATTGAGAATGAAGAGGTTCCCGAGTTGAATGATAACGCAGCAGAGAAACGCCACGAATACTCCAAGAATGGCGCGCAGGCCTCTGTGGTATAAAGGCGCGTCGTCGCTGTTGAAGAGAAGAGGGCCAATGATATTGCCTGCGGATGAGCCCACTTGGAACAGAGCAAGTGTTGCGGACGATTTAGTGGTACCAGCCGTATTGCCCACTATCCAGGATATGAGAAGCGTATTGCCCGCGAAGAGGAACGCTATGAGGTAGTAGGCAGCAAGCAGGGCGCCTTGATGAGACGGCCCCCGAGGCAGTGCGTAGAGCATGGCAGATCCGATTAGAACGGGTATCATGAAGCCGAATAGCGTCACGGATCGGAGGCGCACCTTCTGCACGATCCAACAGCTCGATAAGATGACGATGAGCTGGACGGCACCGAAGGGCATGTTAAGGAGTGACGACTGGAAAGCGTCAAAACCGAAACCGGAGAGAATAAGCGGCCCGAACGTGCCCGACACAGCAGCGCCAATGTTGAGCAACAGGGATAATCCGATCCAAAGGTAGCTCTTGGGCTCAACAGCGAGCTCCAGAAGATGAGACCATTTAAATTTGCGGGACCCTGTTCCGGTTTGATTCGCCCGGAGCCTCTCTACAGCCTGCCTCTTCTCAAGCTCTGTGAGAAAGCGAGCCCACTCGGGACCATTGTCGAGCTTCCAGTACGCCAGAGGGGCGCTGACAATCGTTAACAGACCGGCGAAGAGGAAAATGCTGCATCACGATCAGTCTTGGCCCATCCTTGAAGCACACTACTCGATGTGCCGGAGGTGATAATGAACAACTCACATCTGCCAGGGCTTGAGTAAATCAGACGGGATGTGACCCAGCCCATACGCCAGAATCCCCGCTAGGATCGTCGCTGTTCCGTTATTCGAGTACCATACCGCAACTCTAAGAGGCTGCTCGACGCGACGATACCACTGCGACGTAATGATGCTGAATAGTGGCAGACAGCCTGCCTCAAAAAGGCCGAGAAAGAAGCGCGACGCAAGGAGAGAGCCAAAACTGTGCCCGGCAGCGATAGTGGCCTCGGCGATGCCCCAGCCCAAGACGAGAGTGGGCATGAGGATGCGCGGCGGCACCTTGACTATGAGGAAGCTCGAAAAGGGCTGCCATGCTAATTGCGCGATGGAGGAGATTGACGCCACGAGAGAAAACTGCGTCCCCGTCAGGCCGACGTCGTCCTTGAGGTGGAAGAGTGCCGCAGTGCCGAAGACGGCCTTGTCGAATATTTGCAAGAAGTATATCCAGAAGAGGAGCGTCAAGATATGCTTATCCGTCTTCCGTAAGATCCTTTTATTCTGTATGCGAGGTCAGCACATGGATTTTGCACGCATGCTGCAGGACCATTGATGACAGCGAGGAACTCACATCGGCATCCGTCAATTGAACTCGCTCTCTCTGTAACGGAACGACACCTGGCTCGGGGTCCTCTCGTTTCGGCCCCGTGGACGTTTCAATCTCTTCAAGAGTGCCTGACTTCTCCATTTGGTCTGACAAGGATACGAGCGCAGGTGGCGACAGGCTTCACTTTCCAACCGAGTAAGGTACTCTGTCACGAGAGCAAGAAGCGGCGAGACCACAGACCGTTTTTATCATGAATCGATTAGTTGCCATGCATATTGCAGAGTCAGTGGCCCATTGCTCGTGTTTTGAAGCCTTGGTGATGTGAGCCGATCGTGTCGGGAACTGTCATTACGACCCCGATCGGAACGAGGGCCCCGGTCGCATCCCCGCAGAGGGGAGGCAGCAACCACCGACAAGCGATCGGATCCGGGCCCGCACACAGCCCGCGACAAAAGACTGCCAACGCCGTTCTGCGAATTCGCAAGAACCACAGGAAGTGTCGGCGCCGGCGATTTCGTCTGGTGCAGCACGACTGCCGGCAGCTTTGGCGAGGGCGAATGGAGGTAGGATCGCGACCATGGTGTCCGTCACGAGCGACTCGGACAGACCAGAACGGGAGAAACTCATCGAATGCTCGCGACGCGATGGGTGATGGGATGGAAGGCGCCAGGAGCGGGGCGTAAGACGAGGTCGAACCCATCGGCCGAGCCATGTCCAGGCTGCTTACAGACCCCACGATGAGAAGCAAAGCCCATAGCGCCAGCTATAACTGGCTAAATGGCCACCAGTGGCGTGGCCCACGCGGCCGAGACTGTACCTCTCCTTCTCGGAGCGGGTTCTTCGGCAGGCGTCTAATGTTGTCGTCCCCGCAGGCCAGCGGTCGCTGGCAATTGACGACACGGCAAAGAGAATGTGCTACCCACTACACCATGGCGAAGCTCGCCTTGAACATTTCCACGGCGACAGAGCGTATATCAACGCGGCCCCCACAATCTCGCTGCCGCTGCTGCACCTCACAAAGCAGGTCAGCCGCTATGTTGGCGTTTGTGACGATGCTCTCGAAGGTGCGAATCGTCTCGACGATCCAGCAACATTCCTCCACATCGTCCTCCTCGCAGCCCCACAGAAACAGCGGCCACAGGACATTGACAGGCAAAGTCTCCCGGCTCGCAACCATGGCTCGCATGAGGTCACGTATACGCGCAATGGCCTTGACGAGCATTTGCGGACGCGGTAGATGGCGGTGGGCGACGCGGTGGAGGTGGACGTAGCAGCTGTGGAAGTTTGCCAGATATGTGCGGTAGGAGGACACAATAGCGCTCGCCAGGGAGGGGGCCAGGAGGCTTTCGCCTATGTCGCCGGCGACGGCGTGGTCCGCGAGGACAGGTCGCCGGTCGTGCAAGCGGGACAAGTCGCGCAAGATGTCGGCAGCAGCCGCCATGACCTGGGTCTCGTCCTCGACCGTGCCGCGGCTGCGGTGATAGTGGTCGATCCTGGTGATGCGGCCCGTGACAGACTGCACCTCCTGGAAGAATTGAAGGCCCGGCTGGCAGAGCAGGTCGTAGAGAACCTCTTCGACCTTGGCGTTGTGCGCCTCGCCTGTGCCCGAAGGCGTTGAGGCGTGGCAAACCTGGGTATCGACGGGCGAGTAAACGCCGGATTGGTCGTTGACGAAGCAGCCCTCGCCACCAGCGGATGCGGCTCTTGCGTCAAGGACGCGGATCCATGAGATGACGCGCTGTTCTGGAAGCACCGGTCAGCGTCTGTGGGACTCTGTCAAGGATCCATGGCATGAGCGCATCGAAGGGGTCGTCGCATACGTACCGACCGGCTCCGAGTTCAGCCTGTCTCTTTTCTTGATTGCCTTGTAGGCCTGCTTCAGGTGGGCATGCGCCAGGTCATGGCGATCGGTGAGAAGCTGCCCCTGTGTCAGCGACATCTATTGACTCAGGGAGGATGGCGTCAACTGACGTCGATGTACGACAGGAAAAAAATTGTCGTCAGTATATGCTTGAGGTCTTCCCGATTGTCGGCAGTGCCTGCAAAAGGGTCGGTGACGCTTTCAGCCAATTTCTTGGCTGCGCGGTCATAGAAGGGACGATGGTCAACTTGGAGAGAGGCGGGTTTCTTCTGGCGCTGCAGGGCAGCAAAGGCCATTCTGGAGCAACGCACCATGGCCGACGAGGCCGCCATGGCCTCCAAGAACGCCCTCGCCGAGGCCCAGCGTGGCCCATTCTCGATGGGCTGTAAAATCGGCGGCGGTTCCGTCATCGCCAAGGTGTCGTCAGACCCGCGATCCGCGTCGGAATTGTCGCTCGGTGTTGGCGAGGGGCTTCTCGCAACGGACGCAACGGACAGCAGGGGGTAACCGGATGCACCATGCTCGCCACTGGCAGGTCGGAGGTCGAGGTCAGGGACACCTCTGAAGAGCGAGGGAACTTCAGCCCCGGGGCCGGCGAACGAGCTGGCAAAGTCGAAGAGGTCGGCAAACGGCGCCTGCTGGTCGAAATGCATGGCGAAGTCCGAGTCGTCTGGTGACTCTTGAGACTGGCGGGCGGCACTGGCAGCGGCAGCGGCAGTTTGCGACGGCAGGCCCGTTGCGGTGTCCTTCCACACACACGGCAGGCTCAGGCGGTCGCAATGGTAGCACCTCGGGCGCTGCTCGCTGCATCGCACCTTGCGCCGCTTGCATGTCAAGCAGCCGTTTCGTGATCGGGGGACGCGCGGGAGCTGGGGGCCGTTCGTGCGCGGACCGCGTGGCCGCCAGGGTGCGCGTGCAGCATCCATCAGTAGCTGGCTGGCTGGTGGCAGAGCGAATGGCGGACTGCGATGGCGCCTGGTCCTTGCTCGGGCCTGCGGCGTCGAGATGGAGGGTCAAAGAGGCTCGGTGTTGACGAGAGGCAGACGGTGCAACGCAGGCCGTCTGCAACACCTACCGAACAAGCGGTGCAATACAACCACTGTAATGGAACGGAAGCAGGCATCGTGGCTGCTGCGGGGCTCCAGTTCCCCGGGGCGCCAGGCGCAGCTGCTGACCACTGGTGGGACGGGAGCCCCAACCCAGCCACCGGGGCATGGGAACGTGCCCGGGTGGACGCCGCCCACACGGGCTCTGGCTCCAGGGGACAATGCGGGGTACCGATGGGCATTTAGGTACTATGGTAGTATGGAGCTACTGGACGCTCCCTGGACTCTTGAGGATCCCAGTGATTGCTGCCTTGATGCGCTCGGGTCGCCTGCGTCGCGACAACGGCCCAGCTCAGGGCATGATCGTCGGTCCCGACAACTCTTCGACTCTCCCGCGACTCACCTCTCGGCAAGTCGCAAGTCCATTTTCCTTGGGACGGGGAACACTACGCCCGTGTGGAGGCAATGGACGACGGGGCAAAGGTGTCGCTCCGATCTGGGCCGCGTCAGTAATTGGACATCGCCGCGGAACTGGATGCGATTGAATCTACGGCAGCAGATCCCCCGCGCCCGCCCGTCAACTCCCCGCGCCTTGCTGCGCGAGCTTGTGTTCAATCGGCAGCACCGCGGACACCACCTCAGCCACCTCAGCCATCTTCTTCACATCCGCAAACCGCGGTATTGGCCTGCGGCAGTGCACGCTCGCGGCCGGGTATCCACGATTGCTGACCACGAGCCATTTGGTCCCATTTAGCCCGGCCTGCGCGAACCCCTGCTCTGCCAGGCTCATCCTGCGCTGCAGCTCCGCCGCCGCCGCAATGTCTCCCTTGACGAACAGGCGCCGAATCTCTACGAGGGTCTAACCAGCAGAGCGTTCACGTCAGCCGTGGCAGCTCAAGACCTTGATCAATTGTCAACCGCCCGCCATGCTCCAGAAACTCACCTGCGGAAACAAGTTTGAGGCGCCGGCAATGCAACCCACTCCACCCACAGACAGCGCGGGGAGCAGCCAGTCGCCCTGGCCGGCCAGCGCGGCGAATGACTCGGGCGGAGCTGTTGCGGCGACTGCTGCCACCTTGGCAATCCCGCCGCAGGTCAGCTTCACGGCAGCGATGTTGCTGTGGCGGCCGAGTAGCTGTAGCGTCTCGGGGCTGAGGTTCAGTCCATTGACGATGCTCGGGAAGTTGTAGATGATGATGGGAATGGGCGAGGCATCGGCTACCTCTTGGAAGAAGGCCACAATGGCCGTCTGGTCCATGTCGAACGCGAAAGACCCCGGCGCCAGCACGAGCGCAAAGTCGGCCCCGGACCGCTGCGCCGCGCACGTCTGGTCGATGACGTCCCTCGTGCAGCTCCCCGAGCAGCCGGCCGTCACGGTGAGCTCGTCCTTTGCGTTGTCTGTGGCAATTCGCGCCGCTCGCGCAATCAGTTGGGACTTCTCGGCCGCTGTCAGAGTTGCGGCCTCCCCGCAGGTTCCCGCGACGACGACTACGCCCCGGTCAGTCATTGTCCCGATGGCTTCACTCCCTTGGGCGCGAAAATGGACGATTCCGTGCCCATGCGGCGAGGATAGGAATGATGCAACTTACTTCCTTGGACACCGGCTTGGATCAGGTACCTGAGGTGGCTTTCCTGTGTGTCCCAGTCGATGTCCTGGCGCCCATCGGCCTCGAAGAATGTGAGCGATGGAACGTGTATCCCAGGAGGAAAGGGTCTTCTTTGGTGCATTGTCATGGTCCCGTTGTTAGCAGGCTCTCCTGCTTTGGCTGACCCCGTCACTGCCATTGCCGTGCTGGGAAGCAAAAGAAAGAAGTGACGCCAACTTCCTCGAGTGAGATTCGAGTCTGGCAATGTTGGCAACAGCCTTAAATACGGCATGTCGCTCCACGACAATGCAGCTATTGACTTCTCTGTCTGTCTGTTTGGGCTGAGCTTACTCGTCCCGATCGGCTCGCAATGGAGTCCGGTCGGGTCGGTACGCCAGGCCCACTACCAAGGGAACGCACAGCCAGCAACTCGACACTCATGGGTCCGATACATACTTTCTAATGCTGTCTGACCATGAAAAGCCGTCCCCGATTGACTGCCAGTCCGAAGTGTCCGCCGCCCAGTTGGAGGCCTCGAAGTCGCGTCAACTCAGGAGAGGGACTAACTGACATGATTGATGCTTTTGGGTGCCGAGGGAGTGTGGCAACGCGCAGCCGTCCAACCGCAAGGATCTTGCAATCTCAACAGGTCAACGTGATGAACGCAGTCGGACGCCACGTATCGGCTGGGGCTGCAAGTTTGACTCCTCTATGACCAAGGGGGACATCAGAGCAATGCCATCGGCGACAGCAACACCGCCGACTTGACTGGGATTGACAATTACACGCGGCGACGACTCACTATGGATCAAGATGCAAAATCCCATTTCTGTAGCCTCATGCGTGGGATGCCGGGTAGGCCATGAGAGGCCCAGGTTCGCGATGGCGGCGACATCCCGAGACACACACACAAGAGCCAAAGTCACGTCCAAAAAAAAAAACAAAAACAGAAAAGGAGCTGCTACTAATATGGTCTAGTGTCGCGGTGCCAGCTCGCATCAGTGACCAGGGCCGATACGGCATCTCTTAGGATGACTGCACACGGTGGTGATGCAGCTCGGTGGTGCGGATCGGGCAGGTTAGCTCCGAGTGACGCGCGTGTGACTCTGTGATCAGACAGGAGTCGATTGTGCATGACCCTATTCATGGACTGGTGGCGCGAGCCACCTATCGACGCCAGTGCATGGTCGAATAATAAACGGATGGCGGCACAGAACATGCTGCGGACCGCGACGCGTAGACGCGACGCGGTCGTACGGATGGCCGCTGTGTGATGAGGCGAAGAATTCCATTGCCACCTGGAGCACAGGTGTCGCCCCAGCCCGCCGCCCTGCTTCCGCGAGCGGGCCACGGCAGCAAGCACAACCCAGGGCGTTCAAGGCGCCGCGAAAAGCGAACCGGAGCATGGAAATTGAGCCAGCGGCTGCTGCGGCAGCGATGCGAGGAATTCAAGGCCGGCCAGACGGCCGCCGCAGCAATCGAATGAGTCGCAGGCTAACCGGCGACTGTAAGTGACTGAGGTGAAACCCTGCTGCTGTGGTAGCGAGTTGGACGTGAACAAAGTCATCGATCGTGGCACTGTCTGCGTGCGCCAGCGTATGAGCTATAGCAGGGGCACGGTGTCTTGGCAGGCACGGGCATAAAGAAAAAAACATTGATCAACATGGAGGATTCAAGAGTCCCAGACTGCACCTACACCACCAGCCCCATTCGCAAGCGTGCCTGGCTGCAGGATGCTGGAAACCCAGCGTCGGAGGCAGTGATGATGCCGCCAGCGCAAGACGTGCCGGCGTCGGGCGCGCTCGCTCGCTACAAACTACCGCGAGCCCGACCGATCCGCGCGGCGATGGACGAAGGCGTTGGACGCGCAAGGCTCTCGCGCCATTGCCTCTGCCTGCCATGTGCTGTATCGCAGCCTCTTCGTTGCCATATTCACAGTGTGCCTTAAGCCGCGGATCCCTTGCCGCAGTCTCGGCGCGCTTGAGAGTCCCGCCCGCCCACGGCGAGCTGGGCCGAGGACGGGCTGCAATTTGCGGCAGTAGCCGCCGGGTCTAGCGTCCCCTGCATTCCACCGCACGGTCTGTCGCTCCGCATCGCACCATCTTCGGCCGCTCCAACCAGCAGTGCGCTATCGCGCCGCCGACGACGATGGAAATGGCCAAGGGTCTTTGCTCGCTTCCAGTCCGGCGGCTAAAGACTTGCTGGCTATTGAAACCCTTCGCCTGCCGAAAGTGGCGTCGTTTCACGTTGATCGTTTCGCCGTCAAGCGAGGTGGCCTGCCACCAAGGATCAGATCAAACGCGATACCGGATGATCCACGCAACCCCTGCCAAGCTTAACGCGACCGCAGGGATAGCTGTTTGTCGGGCCGTTCTACCGACTGCGAGGGCCGTCCTGCGCGGAGCACTGTCCCCAAGTGATCAGTGACGCCCGGTGGTCGATGGCCACGTGAAACGCCCAAGGTTTCCACGCACACAGGCTTTTCTCGACTATCCATTTAGCCGCCGAATGACCGGATTGTACTCTCGGGTTATGCGTCGGTCGCTTGATCCTGAGCACGAGGATTGCCTCGCTTACCGTTAGGCCCTCTGCTGCTCCAACGCAGCCAGCCATGGTCTGTAAACAGGGAACCGCGATTGTAGCCAAGAACAAGACTTGACGATAAATAGTCCACAAGTTCTTCGTAGATGCCCCCTCTCTCCTTGTTCTCTATGCATCCTTGACTGTCGACGTCCGTTTGTCCTTCTTTTACACTTTTGCCGGCCACGTGCCCGCCATCTCCATCGTTCGTTTCTTACATTCCTTTTCTGCAACCCCTGAGGTAACACATTGCGATTCGCTTGCCATCAATCTGTACACACACAGGCGCTGACCTTCTGTCCTTGTAGCCATGTTGAAGCAGCACCATGCTTTCGTCTGGGCACTTGCTCTGGCCTGGGGTCGCAAGGCCGCTGGTCACGGCCACGTTGACTGGGTCGTTGCCAATGGGGTCGCTTACCGGGGATATGATTCACCCGCATTTCCCTACGATCCCAACCACGAAAAGGTCATCGGATGGACTGTCGACGTACCGGATAATGGGTTTGTCGAGCCTACCAGCTTCAGCAGCCCAGACATCATCTGCCACAAGAGCGCAACTTCAGCTCCCGGCCACGCTACTGTGAATGCCGGTGAAAAGATCATGCTCCAGTGGAATACTTGGCCTGAGTCTCATAAAGGCCCAGTCATCGATTACCTCGCCAAATGCCCCGGCAATTGTGAGTCTGTAGATAAGACGACTCTTGAGTTCTTCAAGATCAGTGCTGCTGGGCTCATTGACAACTCGTTGAACAATGGACGGTGGGCCGACGATGTCCTCATCGCCAACAACAACAGCTGGACAGTGCAGATCCCCGAAGACCTCGCACCTGGAAATTACGTACTGCGCCACGAAATTATAGCCTTGCACAGCGCTGGGCAGGCAAACGGCGCGCAGGCCTATCCGCAATGCTTTAACCTCAAGGTCCAAGGGTCCGGAACACGGGAGCCAGAGGGTGTGAAGGGCACTGAGCTGTACAAATCGGACGCTCCTGGCATTCAGTTTGATCTCTACAACAACCCTTCGTCCTATCCAGTCCCCGGGCCGACGATCGTGGCGGGCCTCTTGCCAACCGCAAAGCAATTGTTCACTCGAGCCACTGCGACCTCCCACGCCACTTTACCCAATGGCGATGATAGCGGCAGCCCAGTCACTACTTCACCGGGCGTTGGCGTGTCCTCTCCGCCAGCAACAACGCCTACCACGTTGGTTACAGTCACAATCCCGCCTTCAAATGCACCAGCTGCATCGCAGACCAGCCGGACATCGCCCTCGTTGCCTCAGCCCACTTCTAATGTGGCTAGCATATATGGCCAGTGCGGTGGAATCAACTGGACTGGCCCGACCACGTGCAGTGCCGGATTGGAGTGCCGGGTTCAAAATCCATACTACTCGCAGTGCCTGGAGGATACTACCAAGATCTTGGCATCTGGCGATGTTCCGAGGTACGGTCAATGTGGCGGGAAAGGCTACCAAGGCGTGACCACATGTGTCATCGGAACCGTTTGCCATGAACAAAACCCCTACTATTCTCAATGCCTTTGAGGCCGATTGTGGGCAGCAGGCAGTTCTGTGCAAATCATGGGTATCGCTGGGTTCAGTGTAGATCGTCAACGCATCACAGCTCTGAGTTTGAGTAACAACCAATTGCTATTCACGACAACGGGGAGCAGTCGGACCCCTACTGGGTATCACCTACGCTGTTTGCAGGCTTTCTGTCTCTTCATGCGGCGCACTGGATCTGCATTGTCCATATTTAGTGTAAAATAGCACCGGACGCCTCGTAGCACGTCACGTTTGACGTCCAAGTACCGAATTGCGAGCCGAAGCCTTCCTGTTTAGCTACGTACATGTCATGCCGATTCAGACGGCGCTCGATCGAGCTTATCCTTCGTAAGCCACAGTGACTCCTTCAATTTATGAACCAGCTGAGCCAATATCCACTCGCTTTCTTCTTTTGCTCCTGACAGCGGGCTTTGGTCGTCCACCCATGACCATTTTCGCTGCTCACCTTCATCGACAATCGATGGTAGCTGCTCAAGGCCGTCTGCCCTGGCCTGCATTTTGCCCTTCTTCCACTTTTTGTGATCGTATCTGCGTTGGAAGACTTGTTGCCTATTCTCAAAGGCCAGCATCTTACGGTGAGACCTTGGATCGTCCTCGTGTTCGCCAATGAGTCTCAAATACCAGGCCCACTCGTCGAATGTGTAGCGTCGCGTTTTGGACTCGCGGATATGCTTGGCCACTTCCTCAATTTCGGAAACAAGCAAGATACTCAGGTCATGCCCAGTTGGGAAATTGTCCAGGTGTGTTTGATGAACGGGCAAGGGATTTTGGTCGGGCCCGCGCCACCGTTCGGAGTGCGTGGCGGAATTGATAAGTTTTGAAGGCGTATCACACTTGGCTGCACCCATCTTGCGCTCTCTGAGACGTGAAACGTGCGATGGTCGGGGGGTGTGAGTCCGCCTCGGAGGCCCATGGCTCTCAATGTCGTGAATCGTACCATGAGAGCGCGGGAACACTTGGCCGAAGGTGAAGCGATGTATTAACCGCTTCAAGCTATGGTTAAAGTCGTCTTCTGCTGGTAGAATTGTAACACTGCCAAGGAGGATAGTCATGTCCTGTATGACGCTGCCAACCGTGTCTCCGGCGCTGGATATCAAAATCGTGGCCGAAGGCAACGCCAGCAGTGACCAGAAAACGAAGAAGGATCTTCCAGAGTTGGAAGTAGGTGCGAAGTCGCCGTAGCCGATGGTCAATAGCGCCACATAGGAAAAATAAAAGGACTCGTAGTAAGTCCAGTTCCCGTACGACTTCTCACACTTCGAAAACACAAAGGCTCCGAGGAGGAGGAGCGTGATCCAGCAAGCAGCGGATACGAAGAATGCGGTCCAGCGTCTCCGGCGAGATGCCTTTCTCTGAATCTCTCGCATAAGGTTAAATTCAGAGCGTCTTCGCTTTAATTCGGGAGCCGGCGTGTCGGTCGCTCCAGCATCGACGGTGACCGGCGTCAGGATGTTGTTTTTGTCACTGAGGCACACCCTCTGAACGACCCGACGACGGACTCTTTCTTGTACACGGGCGTGTATTTGTTGCCGACCGCGTTCGATAAGCATAGTTCGAATGGACGTGATTATGAGAGCCAGGCTGATGATGCCTATCAAAGCATATGGAAAGAGTAAGGCCCTTCCAAGGGTGGTTGTGGGGGCAAAGTCGCCGAATCCAACCGTGAATATAGTCACATCCGCCCAGTATACTGCATCCAAATATGACCAGTCCTCGGCGGCGGAAAAGACGAGTGCGCCAACCAAAAGATGAGCCAGGAATACAATGGTCTGTAGCATAAGTGTCCGCTGACTTGTCGAAAGATTAAAGTCCTTGCTGTAATGACCGGAATGTGCGCCCCAGAAGGTGAAAACCAACAGGGAGGCAACCAGGAAGTATAAGATCGTGGCCCATATAGCATAGTAAAATGATTGGGACCAGATGAAATCGCTTTCAGGCTGCTCAGACCCCTTCAATGCAGTGCTGGACGCCAATGACAACAGAGTGACGAGACAAATGACTGAAAGGTACCTGAAATCATCACTAAAAGCCGCCGATAGTCCAGGGGTCTTTCGTACCATCCTATGATAGTAATTGGTTGTGCAATAGTAAAGCGAACACGCCTTGTCATGTTCAAGAGAAGAAACAGGTTCGATATGACGGCAACGGCCAGTTGTACGGCGTTCACGACCGTCAGCCTGGTGTGGTGTTACAGCGGGGCTCTGCTTGCCAGCGTGTTTCACAGATTGCCTACCAGATAGGGTCCTGAACGTACGCCGCGCTCTCTGTGCTATCGTTGGGAGGAAGGTGCTGTCGCCAAGGCCGTACCAAAGCACATATGCTGAAAGCTGAGGCCACGGGGCCGAGCGTACCTGCTATCAAGGGGAACGCTGACGATGCCAACCACCATCGGCTGTACAATCCAGCATCAGCGGGCGAATATGAACAAAATTACACGCTGAATTTGCCTTACCCGGCCAAGGTGGGTGTTGGACCCTTTTGCGGCGGGAATTCATGAGTGGCTCTGGAGTCGGGGTAACCCTTGCCCTTTTCCCGTTGCTCAGGCCGCTCTCTGGACTGCCCGATGAAGCCGTCCATGGCTGAGCAGGTCCGGGTTCGCGACCACTGGAGTAAAATGCTGTTCGAAGCTTACTCGAGGTAGAGGGTTGTTCGTGGTCAGCACCCTAAGGCTCAAAGCTTTGAATCGCTCTTTCAGCGGATGACCATCTTGACAAGGGCAGAGATCACCGGGATGAGGTTCTTGGTGTTGGTAACCTGGGGCGTCTAGCGGCGGGCGATCCACACTCGACGTTTTGTGGAGGGCCTTTTGGTACTCGAGGTGCAGTGCGTTGCTCACAGTGATCTAATAACAACCTACAGCAACTCGAGCCCCAGTGTCAGCGGAGGCGCCCCATACTGAATCGCAGCTTGGCTCAGCACCCCGCGGCCATGAAATCCTTCGTCCTGGGTTATATTCTTCAGTGAAAGCATCGCAAGGGCTACAGAAGCCTCAATGATGACGGATGTATAGCAGCACTGTGTCGTGCGCCGAGCTGAAAGCCAGGGTGGGACTCGGGCTTGAGCGTGTCCTATCGCTGCACATATCGCCCACACTGGTCGCCCACACTGGTCCAAACTCTACTTCTCATTGCCCACTTACGTATAGGGAAGGTTCAAAACAACTGAGCACAGGATCTCTAGCCGAATGAAATATTACATGGGAGTCCAAGAGGCCGTGCATCAAACATTGCCCTTTGGGTGGTCAAGCCATTTCCCCAGAGCGAGTGTTCAGGTTAGGTCTTGTGCTTATATGGCGTCTACCGGCCCAACAATGCAGAACCACACAAGTTCTGAGGGTCCTTTCCTCAGACCGAGAATTATTCGGACTCAGATTGACGGAGAACCCACCAATGCAGCAAGACGGTACCTCGGGCCGGTGTGAACAGGCGCACGAGTCTCCTGCTGTCGACGAGGCAGAGAAAGTCAAGTCGCGGACCAAGCTACGACGCTTCGTGGACAGGATTGGACTAGATGCACCTACCCTTGTCGTTATGTTAAAGTATGTTTGCCAAAAGCCTCCTACTCTTATGGTCCCAGGGTACGAAGCAGCACCATGGTAACCAGGAGAAATTGACAGAGGCTCCTTACCCCCCGTAATTGGCATAGCCATGTACCAATCGGCCACCATTTCTACGTACTTCAAAACTGAGGGATACTTGATCTCAATCGCATCTGTTCTCGCAGTCGCAATTCTACCACGTGAGAGGTTCATCCAGCTGCTCATTCTCAATATCCTGTCTATCTGTCTCGCTTCGGCGATGTCACTCCTGCTCATGTGGTCCTCAATCCAGGCGCGTGCTCACACCTCGCCTCCGCCAGCTACTGGGTATCGTCCACCGTACAATTCTTCACAATCGGCAGTCTGTGCGGTATGGCTCTTTACGAACATATGGCTGGCTAACTTTCTGCGAGCAAAATTGCCCAGCCTCAATCTACCAGTGGTACTTTATAGCATCATTGTCAACACGAGTGCGACTGTGGGACCGACGATAGCAACAACGAAGATGGCCGAGTCGTTTGTCAGGGAGCTACTGTTGGCAATGCTGTTCGGTATGGGACTTGCCACGGCCGTGTCCCTCTTCGTTGTCCCTATCAGTGGTCGCTCGGTTGTCATAGCGGAGCTCAAGTCCCTGAACATCTTATTAAGAGAAACGGTCAACCTTCAGAAGGACTACTTTGAAGCTCGGATGCCGGACGGCGCGCCTCGATGGGAACAACTCAACGAAGGCGACGTGAGCACCGGACTTTGGAAAAGGCGACCGTCGGCGATGAGAGCAGCAAGACACGAGTCTCCTGACGATTCGTCGGATATCGAATTTGTCAAAAGAATTAGGGAGACAATCCGGGCACTTCGGAATCTGGTTGGGAAGCTATGGAATGATATTCCCGTTGCGCGAAGAAGCATAGCCTGGGGACATCTAGGCTCGGAAGATCTGGAGGAGGTCTACCGACTCTTCGGCAACGTCACCATTCCAATGTGAGGAACACACTACGATGAAACGGGATCCAGCAGCTGACATATAGTAGCATGGCCATGAGCACAATTATGGACATCGTCAAGCGGACTGCGAAGGCTTCGGGCCCGCATATCCACGACAGTGTTGCTCCTAGAGAGGCTGCGGAAAGAGCAAGAGAAGAAAAGACTTGGACCGGCGTCGTGAAGGAGATCCATAAGTCATTCGAAGTGCTTGTTGGGCCAGTTGAACAAGGCCTGGAGCATTCCGGCATCTGCCTTGGTATTCTCCCTAGGCCGAAGGACCTTCCCCCTCGGCAAGGGGCGTCGTCAGATCGTGATATCGAGACAGGTGCGGTACGAAACAGACCAGGCCACGTCGCCGTGCTTCCGAAAATCTGGCACTCCGATGCGGGGTCTGTTTCTTCTGGCGACAGAGTTCACCAACATTCGGTAAGCATGGCTCCAGGGCAAATTTGGAAAGGTAAATCTCATACTTCTAAAGGGTGAGCTGAGGACAGCCTCTTCGCCAAGAAATCGTCTACAGCTCGATATGATCTCATACTCGGAACTATTAATGCAATCGATCAAAACGGCCGTCCAGGATCTCGTCGACTTTGCGGATCATGAAGTAGCAAAGGGCGTCATGGCGCACCGGCGCCTCATTTTCCCCTCGAGGATCTGGCTGCGGAAGTGGTTGGCAGAAATATGTAGGAGTCGTGGTTCAAAGCTAATAGGGGACCCAGACATCATGGAATTGGGGTACATCTCATACGGAAGTGGTTCACACCAAAAACCGGATCCAGAGCGGCTTCCTGCCACCAATGTGTGGCAGAGAATGGGCAACCAGCTGTGCAGACTCTCAACAGCGCTCGGCTCTAGGGAGTCAGCCTTTGGGCTCCGCGTGGCATGTGCTACCATGAGCATTGGTATACTGGCTTTCCTGGAGGCCACGCAGACATTTTTTCAGGAACAAAGATTATCGTGGGCCATGATCACCATCGCGCTTGGTATGACTATAAGTACGTCTCAAGTCCTTGGGCTTTAGATACCTCACTAACAAGTTATAGCTTCTGGCCAATCTGTCTTTGGATTCTTCTGTCGAGTGGGAGGCACTTGCCTTGCAATGGCGTTTTCCCTCGTGAATTGGTACATTGTTGACCAGAAGACCGCCGGAGTGATTGTCATATTGTGGCTGTTTATCTTCTTCCAGTACTATTTTATCCGGTTTCCTCGGTTAATTCCAGTCGTAATCATTGCCGTCATTACGCAGATACTCATAATCGGCTACGAATTACAGGTCAGGCGCTTGGGGGAAGCCGCAGCCGCAGCATCAGGGCAGCCATACTACCCGTACGTCCTCCACATGATTAGCTTGGTAATTGGGTTCAAATGCTCACACACACTCTATAGGACCGACCTGCTAGCTCCCTACCGTCTCGCAGTTGTTGCCGGGGGGAGCTTTGTTGCGTTTTTCTGGACCATTTTCCCGGCGCCATTGACGGATCGCTCGTGGCTTCGACGAGATTTATCGGCCATATTACATCTTCTGGGCGGCTACTTCAGCATGACCGTTTCAGCTTTAAAGTCGCAGAAAAAATCAATGAGTGGACATATCGAATCGGAGTCGGCCACTACATATCGGCCATATAAGGCTCGACGCAGGGCTTTTGGTGGTGGCATGCGACTACTCTCCTCCATGCAATCACACCTCGAATGGCAGCGATGGGAACCGCGGGTCGGCGGACGCTTCCCTGTCGACACCTATCGCGATATCATTACTCGTATTGAGCGTATCCTCAGCTATCTGATAATTCTGAGCTACGCTACAGAACGTCACTCGTACACAGACGACAAAGAGACAGGCTCGAACGGAGCATGCTATGAGCAAGTGGCTGCTGCATCCAAACCCACCGTGGGTAATCAACATGGCCAGGATGCAGTAGTGTCCGCCCTCTTTCAGAGCACAGACCTAGCACTCCACTCCGTCCTCTCAGCGATGTCATTGATGTCCAACTCGATGCTGTCTGGTCAGGCGCTGCCACCGTTTCTCACTCTTCCTCAATCCTATGCAGTATCGCTGCCATCTATTCATCGGCCCCACGAGCAGGCCTTCTCGGCGCCAAACGAAAGAGAACAGACACCACTGGAAGTGCCATTCCCCCAAAGTGATAGCAACGTCACTGGTCTACGAATCATTGATCTACGTCATAATGCCCTCGGCCCTGCCCCACAGTCCTCCAAAGAGCCTGCAACCGACGGGGATACGGCTTCTGTTACCTACCATCTGCTACAAGGGTTCCATGGGCTTGCGGAGGATAGGTATTTCATGACGCGGCTGTGCAGCACTCTGATTTGTGACGACGTCGAGGGACTGATGCGAGCCGTGAGCAGACTAGTAGGTGTCGTCGACTTCTCGGGCCATACAGGGGTCAACGGGGGTGCCGGTGATTGTGTCACACCGAATACAGGGCCCATGAGCCAACAACCTGGCCCAACGAACGATGCAGGGAGAAAGGGAAAAGCCAAGGAGCATTAACGGCAACATGAGGTGGCTAGAGAGCTTGGTCCGGTTCCAAGTGGTACACATCGTCCGCGTCTGGGGCAGGGGCCAGCGTCTCGCCTTTGGCAATATTCGCTTGGTATTGACCAGTCAGTGCGGCAGAATACTGTAATGCAACACCACGAGCAAGAATTTGGTATTTTCTGTCCCCTGAATCGGTCCTTAGATCCATCCACTGTCACGACAACAGGAAGCATTTCAGGCGACGGCGCAGGATGCCACAAGGCTATGCGACTATTCATCACGTCACACTGCGGAAAACTGTGTGGAGGCCCCGGACACTTATGACACAGGATGAATTCTCGGACTATACATGAGACGTTGCGTGCTTAATTTTGTTTTCTTCATTTGTGCTCATGAACTGTGAAAGAAGGAATCTAGAAGTGCTTCATGTTGAATGTAGCACTTGGCCCGGTTACTTTTCCCCGCGTCAGTTCCTGTGCTAGGCCACAGTACAGTCGAAAGACAGTCCTGCACCTTACCCCATGCCTATCTGGTTCAATTCTCCACGCTATCAGACGACATGCTCCGGTCGTTCTCAATCTCAAGAGTATCTGCCTCTTCGGTGGTGCTCTAGGACGAGACGTCCTGGTCTGCTTCACGCTTAATATAGTACCAGCCAGTCCGGTTAGCGTACGAATCGACGTTATTCTTATCGTCATTCGGCTTGCCGGCCTCATCACGCTTGATATAGTACCAGCCAGTCCGGGTAGCGTACGAATCGACGTTATTCTTATCGTCATTCGGCTTGCCGGCCTCATCACGCTTGATGTAATACCAGCCAGTCCGGGTAGCGTACGAATCGACGTTGTTCTTATCGTCATTCGGCTTGTCGACCTCATCACGCTTGATGTAATACCAGCCAGTCCGGGTAGCGTACGAATCGACGTTATTCTTATCGTCATTCGGCTTGTCGACCTCATCACGCTTGATGTAGTACCAGCCGGTCCGAGTAGCGTATGAATCGACTTTATTGTCGGGCGATTTCTATGACCAGAAATTAGAAACAGCTTAACAGCATAATCGGAGAGTCTTTGGGCTCAAACTGCCTTAGACCTACCGAGTCCTCCGGTGATGGCACCGGTGAGGCAATCGCCGCGAGGGCCATTATGGCGGTGGAAAGAATCCCAGCAATCTTCATCGTGAAGCTTCTACGTATTGTATACAGTTGAGTAAGTGAGGTTTATATAGTAGTTTGTGCTGTGCTTGTTGTTGAAAGGAGTGGCCGGTTGCTTTTAACATTGGGAGCTGAAGACGGTTTTATACTGTGCCTAAAAGGTAGACACAAAGCGAAGCTCAACAACTGGACTTCTCACGGGCGAAAGTGGGTTGCAGGCTTCAGGAATTCCTTGTCCAGTAGACCGCCTTGGTATCCAGGGTGCGTCCATGATCGTGCCAGGACACAACCTCGTGAAGTGACATTCGACGTATCAACGAGGCAGGGTTTTTACGCCCTCGGTCAATTCCGCTTAAGGCAACAAGGAACGCCTCTCTGTGGCCCGAACAAGATCATGATACGGCAACGACCCGCCACCACGGATCTACTGTATTAACGAGAAACTACTTCTTGTCCGTATTGGTCTACAGTACATATCACAACTCTACTCTGGCACTGACAAATATTGGAGTCCCCATATAGTAGCGTTAGTCGAGTCACAAGGGTTTCGTCGATAAGAAACGACCCGTTCTTTATGCTATGCCGTGTTACTCGGCGTTTAATTTTAACCGGCCTCATGACCGGCCGTATAGCTAGTGAAGCTTTAGCCTGTCAGGTTCTGAATTAGAGTCAGGACAAGGTACTGCACAGTACAGTACTGTACAGTACTGTATGATATGTATATAAACTTGATAAAGTAGCGTCGTTGCGGTAAGTACTATGTGAGTTAAATACTGTCATAATTACTAAATGCTCGATGCCGCTAGATTGTCCGACCAGGCCATTCGTGAGATCTGAAGAGTGAGTGGTGATTCGAATAGCCGCAGCTTAGCTTGCAGACCGCTTTTACACGCGAGGAGTCAAAGCCCACTAGCATAGACCATATATCAGTTGTGACTTAAGAATACACCCGAAAAACCGGGCACGAGCGCGCCAGGTCACGGGTGTGCTAGCGCCTGGACCGTATCGGGCCTCACGCACTCAATGACTGTAGGCAAAGTATGATCAATAGTCACCCAGAAAGCCGTGCCAGACTGGATGCCTTTTCGGGGAAATTACTACTGTATTCGGGGCTAGAAGATAGTAATGCAGGTATATCCGCCATTCCGGTAAGGGTTAGGAAAACATATCCGAATCATGGCGTATACCGAATCATTAAAGTATACGGGATATAGAGATCGTTTAAAAATTCATAACGCTATGTCGCTAAAACCTTTTTACTGCTAGTATTCGGATAATCAAGCACTCAGACAGTAACAGGTTAGTAGAGACGTAATGCTCTAAACCATTATCATACCACACTATGTGGCGTGAAACGCGCCGTGTAGCATCATTATTACTTCTTTAATCCCAGACTTCTGCTCCTTCTGGACGGGTAAAAGGCGGATCAGTATGAGCCACGTTTTCCATTGCCCAGCGTTCGAAGTGATCCCAGTTTGCGCAGCGATGGCTCGTGAACAGGTTAACCCATACACCTTTGTGCCGATTGACCCAGTGGTGCGAGTAAACATTTAGGTCAGGGCTACACATAAGTCGCTGTCGCAAGTTTTCGATGCAATGATCCTTATGGTGTCGTCTCTCTTCAAGGGTCTCACCAACCATGTCAAAGTCGGTTGCCCCATAGTGGTCCATATAGGTATACATTCTGATGTAATTCTGTATTCTTAATTGCGTGTCTTAATTGCAAGACCTGGGTAGGCACTACTTACGAGACAATGCAACTGGTGGAAGACTTCCATGCCAACCTGATATAAGCCTGTGTCCTTGAATTGCACGGCGCCGCGGGACCGGTTGATTGACTGCAGAATCGTGCTATCAACGCCGAAGTTTCGGACTGAATTATTAGCATACTTATCGCATCATGCCTATAGCAAAAGAGGAAGCCTACTTCCTGAAAGTTTGTACCAACGGGCATCGATGTCGGCATTTGGTTCACCCATATACGGTGACGGTGGTCCCGAGAAGTGAGGATTGAATTCCCTAGTCTCGAAAACAAGACCGTCTCGTGCTGAAGCTGTTTCACCTCGTCAATATTGTTCATAGCTTAGTGTTGTAGGAGGGACTAACTTACGCCAAGCGGTATCGAAAAATGCCTTTCTATCGGTAGTTTGAAGGTAATGCGCCAGGAAGCCAGAGAAGAAGGCGAGAACACACATGACAGAGAGTGCTAGAACCTTCATGCCATCCCGTATTCCGTAGGCATTGACCTGTTGAGCAAGGTTACTCCATGAAGTTTCGAAGAGCGCGGACAGTCTGTCGTTGAGTCTGCCATATGGAGTTCGAGGGTCTGAGATGACATCCGTATCGCTCTCATGGCTGTATATCTTAGAATACTTCATTATCAATGCCTTGATCTCTAGAGGACTGTATGTCAGTGGATTTAGTGGCAAACAAAGACTATCAGGCTTTTAAATACGCAGCCTAACCTCAGAATGGCAGCATGGCTTTTGTTGTATATTCCTGATCACGTCTCGATGCCAGCCATAAGAACAGCGACCACGGAAGCTGTAATTAAAATTCTGTAATCAGTGAACCCGCGAGCACAATCACCCGTAGCGTCACAGAACCAGGTGGTCTGTCCAATGGATAAACTGAGCACTCGATTCTCATATTTTGCTGTATCGTCAGGACCTAATTGTCGGAACCCATATTGGCCATAGCAGCCTCCAGATCATATAGGCTTTTTGATACAGTACAGTACAGTACTGTACTGCATGCCGTCGCATACAAAAATAACCTGGCCTCATTCTTGCTTGCCAGACCCTGTGGAGCAACGCTCGGATGATCGAGTTCAGCCTCGGCCTTCCCCTATGCGTCAATGCTTGCGTGATTTTTCTGCACCACATATCTCTCATAGCGACAGCTCAACCGCATCCTTCTAGGGCGTTCGATGCGTCGACAGGATCGAGTCGTTTTAAGTAGGACTGTCACATATAACAACACAGGGTATACCGGGACTACTGTAAACGGACCTTCAAACAATGAACTCACCGGTTAGCTGATTGATCTGCGCTTCAAAGAGCTTGGGCCAACAATGCGCACGTGGAAAAGATGTCTTTGAGCTTGAACAGAGGCAGTAACTATGCGCTATAATACTCTCACCCAGGAGCTTTCCCACTGTAATAATTGACTTGGCTCGGGATTGTTACGCCTTCAACAATCCTGGATTGCGGCGACATCATGAGTTCTGTGTCAAAAGCCGACCAATATTCTCGATGCAGCTCGGAGGAGCCTTTTCTCCAGCATCAAGGCCACCTGTGCAGAAACAATGTTAGCATCACGGAAAAACGTTATCGGAGACTTACAATTGTACTTGGAGCGGCTTGCGCCCTTTTCATGGCTGCTTGCGTAGTCCTTAGTACAAAAATTGGTCAGGATTGTACCACGACCGACCAAAATAGCCAAGTTTACTGTGAGTCACATTGATGCGTAGTCTCAAAGGCTGCTAACTCTCAGCTCAGCGCCTGTCCAGGATCTTATCCGATATAAAAATGTCGTTTTCACATCCGGCTTCGGGCGGGAGCGTACAGCATACCAAGGTCCGCCCAGCCCCGAAAGAAACGCTTTATGGGATGACCTGTATGGATGTGAGTCGTTCCTTAGATCGCCTTGCGTCGTAGTACGCCTATCTCATGTTATACCAGTCGGAGTCAGCCGCATCCCCCGAAGCTCAGCTGCGAAACTGGTGAATAAAACGGTTCCGATCCCAGGTGAACCGGGACAATACATTGTCGAGCTCAACGTCTTTCATCAGCTTCACTGCCTTGTAAGTACATCGCTGCCATTGTGCATTAACAATACGACTCCAGTGTGCCGGGTGCTAACCAAAGATTGCAATACCCTTCCGCAGAACATGCTACGCAAGAGGCTTTACAGCAAAATCGATTACCCACCAGACCACGAATCTATGGGAATAGAACACCTGGAGCACTGCTACGATGCACTACGACAAAGCCTCATGTGCTCAGTTGATGTAACGCCCCTGCCATGGCGTTGGGTTGATGATATACAGGAAGCCAAAGAGGTTGCCCAAGTTGCCCACACGTGCCGCGATTTTGATGTCATACGAAGTTGGGCGAAAAGTCATGCGGTGGATAGCTTTGACACAAAAACGTTTGTGCCAGATGATTTGCAGGATTAAGGCGATGACGTCATATTAGTAAGGGTAGCGGCGACTGTTGGGCTTTTAGGCTGATAATCGTGGAGTTCGGTAAGGTGACATAAGGTTCCGTAAGCTCCGACCCGTGCTTGAAGAGATTCAATGCCATCTATTGCAACTCCAAGTCGAGTTCTCGTGAATCTGCTGAATAGTGCATGAGACGAGACTGTGCTTGTGCCCGGCAGCGGGGCTATCGAGCCAAGACACGACCTGGAACTTCCCGCGTGGATATCCCCGCACTGGAGCATCACGACTTGGGGCATTAGGCCCACCGGACTGCGCCAGCAACTGGAACCACACAACTGCATCTCAATCATGACGAGCCGGCTGCAGAAACAGTTGCACTCACCGCCGGCTCGGAAACCATCCAGATCAGTGCGTTCGCCATGAGGACCACGTTGCAAAATAGCGCCGAGCCCGCCGATCATGTAACGTGTATTTTTAGCGCTCCCGACCGCCCCCCCGGGGATGGCGGGGATCCTGGTACACACTCTTGACACTCCTTGACTCCCCACGTGCTGGCGGTACATGGATGCGACACTACCCCCCGCCCCCTGGCATTACACTCCGTCATTGGCAACATCAGCCCTGACCGGCAGTTCCAGTTCTTTCAACCTCTCTTCGGCGTGTTGTATTGCATTCTCTCGGGTCCAGTCCAAGATGACCTCGAAGTTTCTACACTTTTTCATCGTACTGAAGTCGGGGACGGATTTGGCTTTATGCTCGTGAGAGTGATTTCCCTGCGTGCGGCCTACCCATTTGTGTGCGACCACGCGACGTTGGACTGGCACATGAGGGTCTGCAAGAGCAAATGAATGCAGTGTTTCCTTCGCTCCACAAGGTCAGCTGGCAAGCCGTGACTTTGCCCATCGGATGACCGGGTGCTGCGTCCATAGTAATGCGCGAAATGGATCTCCTTGCGCAATGCATTGAGACAACTGATCTGATGAAACACCTCCACCCGGGCAACGTAGGCCTGGTCCCCACGCCCCCAGCTGCCACGATGTTGGTTCTAGAGCAGTCATTTATGAAGTGTATCGTATGCTAGCTGGCACGGTTAAGCACCTTTCAATATCAGACACGTGCCTCCACACCAGGGGCTGTTTTGGGCAGGTTAAGTCACTGTTAAGAAGAGCCGCAATGACTGTCCTTGGCGATTTCCTCTTAGCCTACGCTGTATCACCCAGTTCTCACCGCCTCGTTCTGGAACTGATGGCCCACTCTTACTGTTATTGGGGCAATATGAAGGGCTGCTATGGATGACCGGACAGAGGTGCCTTGTTGCCGCAGTATATCTCGTATCCTTGGCTACACCATCCAACCAAAGTGTAGTCATCGCCATGAGTGCTACGCCAGCTCATACGCCGTTCGGCCTTCGATTGCGCTGCCCGGTATCATATTGGAGACCGAAGTCGGCGTCCCTGGCCTGACGAATCCTGTTAGTGTCTGATGCAATCTTGTCAGCTGAGACTTGAACACGGCCGATATAGCCGGACCCGAGCTCTCGAGTTGCGGTTAGCTATAAAGTTGTCACAAATCACATGACGAGGAGCGTCTGTGCTCCGAAGAGGGGGCGGCGCACTAGTGTGAGTGAGTGGCTTTGCTTCGCAGACAGTGGTTCAGGTGCGAGACCAGTTGTCAACAACGGGTTATATGTGATTGTCATTTGACCACATTAAGCAAGAGAGAGGACCACACCTTTGCAAAAGCTAATTGATCTTCATTGAACATAGGAGGCATGGAAGACTCACTAAAGGAACGGCTTTCTTCACAATCGGAGCGGGAAGATGACAAGCTGCTTCCGAGTTACGCACACCATCGTCCCTCTAGGACATTCTATTTGCATCGATGCATTTGGGTTGCATTCCAAGTGATAATACTAGGAATCTCTCTGACCCTTTACCTTCTGTCGCAGAAGCAGTCTTCTACACTGCCCGGACGATTCGCCACCTTCAGTACTCGAGCTTTTAATGGTGAGCGAGCATGATCTAATTCAGCAGGTTTACGATCCGCCTGCTAACTGAATCGCCGAATGGATTCACTCAACTCAATTCCATTAGAGCGCGTTCAAATTCGTGGTGCATTTGATGCCCGATCAGTATTCAAGGGTCGGCCGAGCCAGCAACTCGATGAGGCGTGGGAACAGATCTCAAACGGTACCTGCAGTGATGTCTCTGGCCAGCTTCCAGCAACGAAACTAACGGCGGTGGCAAAGGTGTCATGATAGGTATTTCAAGCCACGAGTTGGCGCGGCTGAATAAGTCCGCCGAAAGCGCAGCTAAATATTCTGCGGAACTTGGGGGTGGATACATGGCCTCACTTGAGGTTTTTCACCAGCTTCACTGCCTTGTACGCCCAGGATTGACCAGGAGGCTGTATAGCCACGATCAACTGACCTTTACATAGAATCTAGTACGGAAATCCATCTACCGAGCGGACTACTTATATGATCACATGTTCAAAGAAAGTTCTGAGGAGCAAATCAGAGACCACCTTGGTAGGTAACACGAGACGAACATGAGGATAAAGAGAAACTAAGAAGCGACGATTTCGTAGACCATTGTATCGACATTTTACGACAATTCATTATGTGCGCAGGAGACCTTGGCGGAATCACATACTATTGGGAAGAAGGAAGGTTAGATCCAATGCCCGACTTTTCAACTTGGAAAACATGCCGCCGCTTTGATGATATTCGAACGTGGGTGGCAGGAAGATCTCCGACGGAAAAGTAGGCCAATAGCACAAAAATAGTGACAGCAGCGGAATTACCTATCTAGAGCGTTCTATAGTACATCTTGTCTGCTTATAATAAGGCTTGCCCGAGACTATACACCAAAATCCAGACCAGGTTACCGAAGTTGTGCCATGAATAGGATATCAAGACTAATCACCTGCACGAAGCAATTTACTAATACCGTGAGCGCCTGGCCCAAGGTGCTGTACAGTTACTGTCATACAAGATTCCCTCTCCAGCTGTTGGTTCTCGCAGCAGTTGACCATTGGTGAGCACGATTGATGCCCAACAACGTGGGGCGCACATCGTTCGTGTCTTGGCATATGATAGATCTGCAGGTCTTTGTGATCGATATGAGTGAGACACATGGCTTCTTCTTACTCGCAGCGTCGAAACAGGCCAACTGAAAGCCCAAACAAGAAGACAGCATCCCCACCAGGTGAGCTACAAGTCCGTCAAGACTTCGTATCTCAATCACCAGCTTGGCACAATGGTTAAACAAAAGATTCCCACCCAGCCTACGATACTTCATGACCTGAGTGGGCTCCTGGAGCTGAGAATTTTGGACGTGATCCAGCAGGCTCAAGGCCGTGGAGGGGGACAACGATCAAATGTGTACGTTGTGGAGGCTCGGCGCTCAGTGCAGAGTACTGCCCGAAAGTCTTCCCGTCCACGCGACCATATCCAGCAAGGTAGAGCATGGGTGTTAAAGACGGTACTGACTCTCATCTGGGGGACGCGAGCTTTGTGTTGACTGTTTGTCCAGTTTCCTCCCGGGGCCCTCAACGACGATCTTTTCCGTCGCGAGTTAGGAGCCAATGCTGAACTAGAGCGCTCCAATGCCTCGCCGAGTCCAGCTGAGGCTGTGGATAATTTCTTTCAGCCTCCAGATGTGACAGACAGAAGATGGTGGCCGAAATGCTTTGGCACACTGTGCTTTCCCCGTACTAACATTGACGAAGGCCGGAATTGGTTCAGTACTGGAAGCCAACGCCACGACACAACACACAGATGCCTACTCTTTGAGTACATTCCGAATTTGAAGCCCCTCACCAACGACTTGATTGACGACAGGGTGGCGACGGGGTTCAAAAACATCGTGGCAAAGTTGCATGCTCTGAATGTGGTTCACAACGACCATGTCGATCGATCAGCCTGGCCAGAAATTCGTTTTGGCAACGTATTCATACGACCAGATCCTGACACAGGGCTCAATGGTACGCAGGCATCCTTCTGATGGCGATCGCGAGAGGGCTGTGATTGACCCATGACTCAGAACCTTTCATCTTGGACTTTAATCGTGCACGAGTGGTCGGAGATAGCCCAAGAGACGAAACCCTAAAAGAGGAAGAAAGAACATGGCTAGACGATCTCTTGACCCGAGTCTTGGCCGGAAAGCTGGCGGTCGATCACATCCCAAGGGAAGTGCAAAAGCTGCTCAAGTCTTCAACACGAGCATCTGGCTCTCCATCTCGCCTATCCTATCACCTAAATATCCAAGGATGCATCAATTACTAAAAATGGGAGCCACTTGTTGACAACAAAGCCTCAATGCACTAGGAAACAAAAAAGGATATAATCTTTCACCATCAGTGCTCATCGCTACGCGCAACCTTTGTTGTATCATATCAGTTGACACTGCTCATCAGACGCTGCCCAACGTCTTGCGAGATCCTTAGCAGTTGGCCGGTTCGATGGTCCCACAGCCAGTGTTGATCCGGAAGTATTCTTGGTTCCGGGTCAATAATTGGCTGTATCCAAGTTCTGTGTTCGTGAAAATGAAGCGACCGAGTATGCCTAGGCTCATAAATGGTGTGGACATGGGGTCGTATATGCTCCTCAACGACAGCAGGCCTGATGTGTGTTGTCAGGTCGTAGTAGTCACCCTGCAGTGTATCAGCACCTGTGTCCACGGTCTTCTTCAGCGACGACGAGAGTCGAGTTGGGCTGGCCGCCCGCTCCCTGCCGTTGCTGTCTTCATTGCTGTCTCCGTTGCTAAACGGCATGATTCCTCTCGGGGACGCGGTGTAAGAAAGCTTCCTCCGGTGGCCGTCGATGATGCTGTTTATGTGAGATGGATTCGTGTCGTCCTCGTATTGAGAAGCGGTATGATTGGGGACTTGTTCGTCAACCTGGCCAGGTTTGGCGACTTCAAAGTCAACAATCCCGCTCGGTATTTCACTACCATCAGGTGCGCCAGTGGATTGGTCCTGCTCGTTCGTTGAGTGAAGCATACTCCGCAGTCGCAGTTCCTCCTGCGGTGAAAGGGTATTGTCGGCGAGATCCACGTTTTCTTTCTGAGTGGCGGCGTTGTCGCTTTTGCCGTCCTGGAAGCTATCATGAGCAGCTAGCCCATCGTCGATGGCCTCCGCTTGTGACCCCGTGAACGGGCCATCCTGAAACTGTCCTGGTCGTATCAGAAGAAGCTGCTTCGGCCGTTCTCCACAGTCGCAGGTGGCAGAAGGTGTCACGACTCGAATGAAATCATGTCAGCATGACCCAAACATCCAGTGCACTTCCATTCTCCCCGAACATACCGTTATCTCCATTGTCAGAGCCTGTGCCATGCTTTGACTGGTCCAATTGCTTCGCCCCCCTTCGGCGGGAGGCGCGCTTGAGCCATGTTATCAATCTTGTGCCGTGGTGGGGTGACATGAAGCAACGTGGTAGGTGAATGATCGCGCGAAGCGGACAGGAAATTTACGAAGTAGTCCCCTTGCAGATATGATGGCCTCTTCTGTGGTATCGCTGTTTGTTTTGTCGCCTGCTGCTTGGAGAGGCGGTCTTCGACCCCCTCGATGTCAGCGTACGATCGGCCAAGGGCCAAGTCAATGACCGATTGAGTTTTGTCGGTTAATTTGAGCGCTGAACGCCTGGGGCAGCTTTCCGCAAAGGCTTGGCCTCGTTGCCAATTAGCCCCGCTAGTGACGGGCGGACCCTGAGACGGCAGACGATTGCGCTAATCGTTTCTTCTTCAGATACATCGGCGTCATATTTCCCACCCTACAGGCCCACCACACGACGGCGTCAACTTTAATGTTTACCAACACAGTTCATCAGGTAAGCTGCAAAGCAGCTACTGTGTAGCAGCTACTGCGGACCAACGCAACCGCCGCACAATGTTTCACCACGTCGTTTGGAATGGAACCTAGCTCTAAGTGGTCACCCCACAGATTCGGAGAGTTCACGAAGGCTTAGCAACGGCCAAGGGAGCAAATGACGTCGTCTGCACACCTGAGATTGAGTTTCACCTCTAAGGCCCAGGCGAAGAGTCCGCTGGTCAAATGCTGGTGAACATCAGATCCGCGGGCGCGTCATCACAGCTTCGAACTTCTCAGGGTGACATGCTTTCGTCATCCTAGATGATACTCATTGCTAGTTGAAGTTTGTTGTTATATGACGTCTATGGAGTTATGCTCGGGTCGCGATGGGACGGCCCCAGGCCCATGACATCAACTTGCCGTTGGGTCGGGCTATATAACGAGGCCTGTAACCCTATGGACAAGCATCGTGACCCATCTGCCAACAAACCTTTTAACAACCAATCTATTGACCATGGAGAAAGCCAAGCAAGCCGTTGCGAACTTTGTCTCCCGCGATGGGAAGCACACGACGACGGTTGACGAGGATGTGCGCAAGGCCGTCACCGAGGAGCACATTCGCCCTCACGAGCATGAGGATGTCGTCACTGCGATAGACAAGGAGATTCACCAGGATCACCACCACACTACTGTGCAGCCCATTACCATGAAGGAGACTTTGTTCGTATCCCATATGTCTGTTCTGCCCGACGCCGGCCCAGGTGGCTGACCCATGCAGGCCGGAGAAGCACACACACCACGCCATTCCTGTGGAGCACAAGTCGTACGAGCATGGAAACGAGAGGGATGTGAACGCCTTCTTGGAGCGCGACGCTAGCAAGTACAGGAACAGCTCCGTTACCCACGAGACGACACACTCGTCTTCCACTGCTCCAGTCGTGTCCGGAGAGCACACGCACCATCACGTTCACGAACACGTTCAGCCTGTCATTCAAAAGGAGACCCTTGAGCGTCATGTTGTCCACACGACCATTCCGGTTCATGAGATTCACCACGCCGCCGCCGTACAGCATGGCACTTCGACTTTGCCCCCAAAGACGCTGGAGGAGTTCACGAGTGGTCGCGGAACTCTGGAGGGCAGAGCCACAACCAAGGTCAATGAATTCGAGGGATGCCCTAACATCAGCCACAAAGACCTGCATGCCAAGGAAGCAAAGTCGGCCGCTCAGGCCCAGGGGCTTGGCAATCATGTGTAACGGCGGATGTTTACGGGCGGCAGGAAGATCGATGGTTCATGGACTGTCCAAGCCTGGCACTCGGCTCGGGCTGGCAGGTTCGTATCACTGTGCACCCGTTTCAAATGTATTCTGTACAAGAGGATGTAATACCACGTATCGGCATTATGGTGCTCCTGCTCCTTCGAGCCAAGTCTTGGCGACTTGTGGACGATGGATCGTCGAGACGGCGCATATATATCGAAACTGGTACAATTGAAGCTCGGTATCGGCCGCAGGTTCATTGTCACGTACATGCATGAGGCAGAGGAGTGGAGCAATCCAGCAGGCGCATCGTTCGGGACGCACTCGGATCTCGTGACGCGACGACGGACCCTGCAGCGACATGGTGTACAAATCTTGGTTCGTGCTACGTACTGTACAGCAGATGCGCAATTGCGGGTGCATTGCATAGCACAGCGGCGGAGAATGGATCTGCTGTCGCTCGCACTCGCAGTACCTCCTTGCCCGCATCGATGAGCGCCAAGCACTGATTTGGTCAACGCCCCATGACCCGGGTTGGAGCGAAATCTCCGGCCTACGTGAATGGCGATGCAATTTGCGATTGACGGTAGGTGCTGCTGCCAAAAACAGATGGTGGTGATCATGGTGAAATGGTACGCTGGACACGCCTGTGGAGCGTCATGGCGGGTGAGAGGGGCGCTGGACACAGTGAGGTGGCCAGTCCCTGTCCGCCCATGCAAACTTTCGTTTCATTACGGCCCGTCATCGGCATCGCTAACCAGTACCGGCAGCTTCGCGAAACGGCCGGCCCTCCACGGACTTTAAAACCCCTTTCTTCTGCTTTATCTACGATATTGCCAGGCCAGGCAGCTCGCAAATCGCCGACCATGTCGAGGCAAGCAGGAGCACTGGCCTACAGAGCGACCACGGTAAAGCCGGCACAGTCTGCGTCGCGCTGGGCCTGGATTGGGAAGTACAGCACCCGCGACCTTCTGTAAGCGGGTTGGCAAGATCCTTCCCGGCAGTGTCGGCATTTAGGATCGCCTCAACTCTTGCGATCTCGGCTGATGGCGCAGTCGGTAGGGGACAAGCTGTCGAATCGGAATTGGCCCGCGGGCCTTCGTTACATCGAATTGCCACACATATCTGTTCGTGCACGGCCGTCTGGGTCCCGACCTGGCGGTTAGTGTGGAGTCCCAGCCCTACCTAAACAACACTGCTCGCTGAGAGATTCTGCCGGGTCAGCAGAGGTGCATCTTCAATCCCTCTTGCTGGCAAAGGCGCCGATGGCGAATATATTAGATGCTGTATCGGGACCATGATCACTAATCCAGCTGCGGAGGAGACAGGTATGATGGACTGGGAATAAATTGTGTTAGTTTACACGCGTCCCGCGACACACCTCCAGTTGAGCTGCCGCACCACGCGACTGGTCGGTGCTAGTTCATAAGCACTTTCCTGCCCACGCTGATAATGATGGAAGCTGCGGAGGTAGTGTTGTATGACTTTCTCCTTTGAATCTAGGTCACTGTGACGGTCTGTCTTTCAAAACGTTTACTACTACTTACAAGGGACAAGCGGACGGACTCGCGGCGTCCTAATGGCAGACTGCCTCTGTCACGAGGTAGGGCCATGACCTCAAATTGGAAGTTCAGATGCTGCATTGTCTTCTTGGCTGCCCTCGCGCGCCCAACCCAGACAGACAAGACCAGTTACTTGTGCGGATTCTGTTCGGTCCATTGCTGTCATGGCGCGCCTTCTTATACTGTAACGTATAGACTTACATTCAGAAGAGTGCCACAAAAGAAGCGTCTATATAATAGATCAAAGCATCCCCCCAGTTGCCTGACGAGAACCTAACGAATCATCCTCGCGCATAGCTGGTAGAGAGATACAACACCAAGATGATTACAGCCATCCACGCCGCTCTCCTCGCCTGTGCCACTTTGGCATATGGAAGCCCGCTGCAGGACAGACGTGCTGCCGACTTTGGCCACCACTCCGTCCTGGAAAAGGTCGGTGTGCCGTCGTCATGGATTCCAAAGGGCTCTCCGCACCCGGAAATGGTTATGCACATGCAGATTGCCCTCAAACAGGGCAATATAGGAGGCTTGCAGTCAAAGCTGCAGGACATCTCCGATCCTAAGAGTCCTAATTACGGCAAGTGGCTCTCCAAGGAGGAGGTGGAAGGCTTCACTCGGCCTTCAGAGGAGTCACTCAAGCTGGTTAAGCTTTGGCTCTCCTCTTACGGAATACCCATAAAGTCGTTGACACAGGCGACTCCTGACTGGATTGAGGTCAAAGTGCCTATCAGTAAGGCCGAGGCTATGCTGAGCTCTAAATTCTCCCTCTACCACGACTCTGTGTCTGGCAAGACAGCACCTCGGACGACGGAATACTCGATTCCGTTGCTCCTACACGATCACATAGACACCATTCAGCCCACGACTTCCTTCCATAGGGTGATGGGGCCTCAGGTGGCCCAGAATCAGTCCGATATCGCCCTCCGCAAGCGTCAGAGTGGATGCGATCCGAACAACATCGTCCCGTCGTGCATCCAAAGCCATTACAACGTCGACTACAGTGGCAAAGGCAGAGCTTCTCTCGCAGTCACTGGTTTCATCGGTCTGTCTGCGAGCCACAGCGATGCGGCTAGCTTCCTCCGATCTTACGACTCAGCTGCTAGCGGTTCCGACTTCAAGGATGGTTCCATTGGCGGGGCAAGCAATGTTCCCAGCAACCCGGACCTTGAGGGTAATTTGGATACCCAAATTGCACTGTCGCTCGGCCACCCCAATCCAGTCACGTACTACGCCGTTGGGCCTAACAACGACCCCGACAACCAGTTCACCGACGAGCTTATCAACTTTGGCACTTATCTCAACTCTGCATCCAACCCGCCGTCGGCTGTTTCGACTTCGTATGGTGGCGAGGAGCAGTACTTTTCTCACAGCTACCTCGACCGAATCTGCAACGAGTTCATGAAGGCTGGCTCCCGCGGGATTTCCGTCTTCTTCTCATCCGGGGACTTTGGTGTTGGCGGCAATGGCGAATCCAACTGCAACCAAGGATTCTATTCTCTGTTCCCCGCATCGTGTCCCTACATTACCTCCGTTGGTGCCACGCAGTTCTCTAACGGAGCGGAGATTGCAGCCACGTTCGAGCGCGGTGGTTCAACGGGTGGCGGTTTTTCGTGGTACTTCCCTGCGCCATCCTACCAGAGTGCGGATACGAAGAAGTACATCAGCAATAACCTGGACAACTCATACAATGGTTATTACAATCCCAGTGGTCGCGGTTTTCCCGATGTTGCCCTCGTCGGGGAGTACTATGACATTATCCTCAACGGCGGAACACAGCGAGTGTATGGTACATCGGCGTCTTCACCGGCATGGGCATCACTCATCTCTCTCATCAACGACTACCGCATCGGCGAGGGCAAGTCGACTTTGGGATTCCTGAACCCATTGCTGTACCAAAACGCAGGCGTGCGAGCTGCTCTGAATGACATCACCCAGGGCCACAACCAGGGGTGTGGCACGTACGGGTTCCCCGCTAGTGCGGGTTGGGACCCCACCACGGGTCTTGGCACCATGAACTTCGCCAAGCTTCGGAAGGCTCTCGGGTAGCTTTCCAGGTTGATTCGACATTGGGAACATGAAGTATGTCGGCGATCGGCCCCTTCAACAGGGTCCGACAGGAACAGTTGTGCCTAGGCATTGAACATACTACGCAAGGCACCATGGTAAACACTGAATAATTCATTACTGCTGTTGATTCCGTCTGCGACGTTTTGATCTTCACTCTGTAGATGATTTAGGTCAGCCCCGTTTAAACGTCTGCCAGCTACAGCCCTCCAGCATCTGAAACTTATGGTGACAAGTCCGCGAGTCTGTAATGGAGGCACATCCTCAAGGTTGCAAGTAGTCCTGTGTGGACGTGTCGACTACGACGCAGCTGGCTGTCGCACAGCCTCTAAAGCGTATCATGCAACGCATATGACCGTAATGCTAAAACTGCGCCGAGCACGTTTAGCTTCGTGACTATCCCTGCTCGCAGGCTACGCCGCAGGTAGATCCAAGCCACTTCAGCTATTGTCTCATTTATGAGATAAATGCATGGCTGCAAACTAGCTATGTGCACCAAATAAACAGGTATCTCGAAACTTTATCGTCAGTACCTAAACCGTCGCAGCTTAGACTTGCCCCCTACCATGTCCCTAGCGAGCCTTTCAACAAGTCATGGCCCACACGGCGATGAGTGAACTTTTATTGCCTCGTTCCTAAGTTTAGTCCCCTCTCAACCCCCTCGGTCGGCATCGGCCGCTGCTGCAGTTCTAGCATGGGCACGCCCTAATTTTCCCCTCTTATTAATCTCGTTCGGGAGACGGCCAAATTTCGCTAGTAGACGTACGGACTCCCCAAATCCTGATGCCTCAATCGTAGACTCGCCCTGTGCCTCTTATTGCTGTCGGTGTGCCGAAGTGGCTCGAGTCAAGTCCATCTTCCGTGCTCATACCTGGCGCTCAAATGAGCACCTCTATGAACTGAGCTAGCATTGACGAATGCCATCTCTACTAGATGAGATTCATGCCTATTCCTCTAGCCTCTCAAGACTAAGATATAGTATTCTTCCTATAAATTCAGTAGTCGAAACTGCCGTATAGATGCTGTGTGGTCTCATCCATTACAGTCTCATTCACCCTACAAGGTCTCATCCATCTTGCCCCATACTAACTACTATAAATACACACTATGCAGGCCAAGATTCTTCTCGTCGCTGCCATCCCAGGATTGGCCCTCGCCGGACCGCAAGGGACTCATCAAAGCCCGGGAAATGATGCAGAGCTCCTAGCGTACCAACGGCAATTTCTGTCTCGCGGATGTTTTACTGCGGACATGAGGCCTGTGAAAAGTTGTGCCGAGCTGTTTTCCTGGTGCGCAAGCATTCATTTAGGAGAAAATTGGATGGGGACACCGCAGTCAGACATCAAGTTGCATAAAGTCCAGGACTGTATAAATAAGGACGTTAGAGGGTTAGTCGCAGACAGGTAAGTTGATTGACGATCCCAATATACAAAAAGCATTTCGAACTAACTATATTCTAGGTATAGATCTAGGGAAAGTCAAGTACCCTAGGTATTAGGGGTTAGATGAGCTTTAAAGACAGCACTCCAGGACGATATTTAGTTATACATTGGATATTTCAGTATCTCAGACTAGTTATCAACAATAGTATGAAATAGAAAGAGACATTCCCCTGTATCAATTTAAAAGAAGTTCTACTATTCTCCATACCTTTGCAGGTACCAAGAGTCAATAGTGAGAAGCCGTACGACTCATCTCGGGATCCGTCGAGACTTAGCTCGAACCTTCTCCGGCATCGGGTACGATTCGGCAAGGCAGAGTTTTGTCTACGACTATGTCTCTAGGAACCTTCGTAAACTTGTACCATCAGTTTCCTAAATTGATTTGTCGCGTCCTCCTTAATGTGATTTACATGAACAGAAGAGCGGCTTGTCTCCAGACCAAAAAAGACCAGCCGAGTAGATGCTGCATTTAATGAGCACCTGTCACGCGTGCATCACCAGTGGCCTGCTCGCTGTCTCCAGGCTCTCCCACAACCTGTCTCGTCTTTCCCCACTTGAAATCGTCTGAATTGAACAAAGAATACCCCAGAACAATGACGTTGAGGAATGGAGATGTGACAAGATGAAAGAAGAATCCCACAAAGTACTGTATGCGTTCCAGGTTGTTTCTCGGTAGCCAAAACCCTATACAGAAGGAGTAAACCTGTAACGCCCGCAAGTCAATGGAAAGTCCCAGTCTGTCGATGTGCGAACCGAGGGGACTCACATATCGAAACCAGAGGACGCATATCAGGCCCACGAAAACGGGATCCCGCATTACCTCCGAACCACGCTTGATGAGAAGCATGAGAAGCTCGGCAAGAGCTGCTATAATGAATGGTGTAATAGCCCAGGTGAACACAGCGATGAAGCTCTGAATCCTCTCTATGAGGATAATTCCCGGTCGAAAGATCATCACAAACTCGTTCGAGATGCTCCCTAAGGCCCATCGCTTGCGTTGTGAGAGGAATACTTTCCAAGTCTGGGGTACAATAGTGAAGGCCTTGGCCCGCAGGGCTTGAGCAGTTTGCTTCCTCGGGAACAAACTGAAAACGATGGAAGTGTGAATGCTATCCTCTGAGTAGTTGCTCATGATGTGCTGCGTCATGATGTCGTTTGGCTTCGGATAATATGCAAATCGCTCACGCAGGACGGCATCGCCAAAGGTTGCCTCCCCCACGCGGATAAGCTGGCAGCATCCAGGCAAGCAATTGACCTTCCCCGTGATGCGAGACTGAAACATACGGCGTAAACCTTGGGTCTGGGAGTACTCGACGGCCTGATACAGTGACCACAGTCCAAAGTTCTTCCCGTCGTAGTCGACGCAGACATGACCACAAATACCAATACGTTTTGGGTTCTTCCGGATTTCGTGCAACATTTCGATGACGCAATAGTCATCAAAGACAGTGTCCGCATCCATACCAACTAGAAAGTCGACATTATCGAGGTTATGCTGAATAAATATGTTGCCAATGTGCTCGAACAGGCCATTGTTGAACATCGTGACGACGTTTTCGGAACGTTGTTTGAAGTGGTAAAGGAACGAGCGGGCAAAGCAGAGGCTGTCTCTCTTCCCTTGGTTGTAGGACTTGCCGACGAAAACGTAAGGGAGACCCTTATAGTATCCAGTCTGAACCCGCACCGGCATAAATAGACCATCTCGCGCTCGATAGCCATTGGTGAAGTATCGGGAGTGCCCAGGTCCAAGGATATCTTGTAGCAGATATTCTTGAGTTGTTTTCTCCATACCAGGGCCGCGGACGTTCCCGTCGACGACGATAAAGATTAAGCGTGGGTGTTGATCGATTTGCTTTTGCGCAATAAGAGAGTCGAGTGATCGAGTTAGTTCGTGCTGTGTTTCGTTGTAGCACGGCAAGAGCAACACCATCTTCTCTGGCGCATCGGGGATTACCTCTTTGCGAGGCCAACCGCACCCACAACGTAGTAGTCTTGTCGCAAGAAAGTGCAGGATGATTCCGCAGATCATGAAAGCCTGCATGACCGTGTTTGCGCTTAAGAGCAGGATAAACAGGTAGTACACCTGCCAAAAGGCCCAGGCCACGTATATGAGTGTTGCGTTTAGACAGACCAAGCCGATTATCAACCCCCATTTTTGCAATCGGAGAAGGTTCCTTGAAACGCTTCGCAGCTCGAATTCCGAGTCCCAATGCGCCTTCGCATCCTCTTGCAGCAATGACGAGGTAAAAGATGCGCTTGAGCCGGTGTCTTGCCACGAAATGTGAGACACTTGTGACTGGGGAGATTGCGCTCCTTGTTCGAGAACGCCGTCCTCACCACTCATGACCATCTCAATCTATTGTCAGCCTCCAACATCCTTTTTTGACCGCGAGTACCTTGACTTACTCGCTCATTCTGTTCCGGTGCACCTGTCGACGAAGGTGGCCCCTCGAGCTTTGGGTCTGGCTCTGTGACGACGCCACAAGAAGCATCCTGTCCGTCGATTGCCATCTAGATCGATATGAGGGTCTGAGCTGGTCACGCGCCAGGGGTGTTGAGACTTACGGACTCGTTCTGGCAATGCACGCTTGTGGACATAGATCGCGCGTCTGCCTTTGGCTCAGGCTCTGCCTCGGAACCTCGGGAGACATCACTCGCCATTGTGAACTCTCGTCGCGGATCAACTGAAAGTTGCCAAATATATTCGAAGTTGGCTTAAGCATTGGTTAAGCATCAAATTCTGGCCCGACTGGAGTATGACAAGGCAAGAGTCAGGCTCGCCCACAGCAGAAGCAGGCGAGACTATGTGGCCCAATATCGTGATGTGGCAAAAGCTGCAAGACGGTCTAACTCATCTCGTCACTGACCATGAAAGATTGATACGAGACAACACCTATTGCGCCGTTGTCCATGGCTGATTGTTCACGCTGCAGAGCGCTCCGGCTGAAACGACCTGAGTCTTAGCGTCGACGAGTGGACCGGGCTGAGGGGCGAACATTTCACGAGTTGGTCGTTCCCACGTGAACCTGCAGTCGCGCACATCACCATCCTGTGATCAGGGGCCAGGCGCTGGCAATCCGCCACGAGGATCCTCACTTGACCCATGGTACTGCGGCCCTCCATTAGTGGACTGGCTTGAACTCTGACGCACCAGGCATGGTTGTTGCACGCCGCACGAAAAAGCTGCTCGTCCGTCTGGACAAAAGGTACTATATGGAACCCTGGCTGCCTACTTCCAACGCGAAGCCTTGCAGCTTCGTAGCAATCGTAACTTTTACCATGTCAGCCATTTTACTGCGCGCGGCTCGAAGGACGCCATACACTTGCTGGTTCCCAGCTCCATCATCCGCCGCAATTCCCGAATCGGAAGCAAACTCAATTCAGCTTCCTTGTTGGCGTTTTGCGACATCAGCTTTCGCAGCCATTCCGGTCGCCACTGGATGTTTGAGGACTGCTGGCCAAGATGGGCTAAGGCTACCGGAACACTATTTCCGCTTTTGCAACTCGGCTGCAAATCTACCGAACATTGGCGCCACAGGGTGCGGCTGACGGTGTCGGCATCAGGCAAGTCTGCGCCTCGCATGGCGTAAAATGTACAGTAATCCAGCATGCATGCGGCCCGCCGCCGGGAATAGCGCTGTCTCAGCCTGCGCTAACACTCCCTCCAGCGCTTGTAAGTGGACACCTGCAGCCCCAGTTGCTGCATCGTCGACGACACAACTCGTGTACTTGGGCAACCGAAACGACGTAGGGAATATCTAGGTGAGTCGACAACGGTTGGATTGCAGATTGTACGTGTGTAGGGTCGACAAATGCTTGGGTCTTGATGCAGTGGCGCCGAATGAACGAGGGTACTGCAGTCGCTCTCTGCGAAGCCGTAGAAGATCCCAAAAGGTATTCGCAGGAATTATTAGCTGGTGGCCACCCACGCGAGGCCCTGGCGCCATCTTGCTCGGTCGCTAACACCCCGGCAGCCAGCCGGGCCCAAATGACATGAAGGGAGTACCTTCGGCGCTGTATCTCCAGCGGCTCTTTGGGTCTCGCTGTTGGCCCGAGCCCCCACTGTCGCAGCGATGGAATGCAGGCAATTTGACCGCCGCACAGCGAGTAGTGAACCCTACACTGTTTGACAGTACACTGCTCTCAGTGCTCTGTCGCGTCGGCAGGCTCTGGCAGTGTATTAGGTATAAAGTATTGCCCCCTGGAATGCCAACCAGCGGTCAATCCGTGCAGGGCTAGCTCTGAAGACTGCCGCTCAAGGAGCCTGTGCCGACGTGCGCAATCGCCTCTTACACAAGTCATAAACCTGGAACGCTGAGGTCTGTCTGGTGTCAGTCGGCTGCCATGTACGGGGTCGCCCATGCAATCCGCTAGTTAAGTTAGATGCTCTGTGATTCGATGTCGCCGCTATTGATCCCTGCCAGGCGATATGGATCAAATAAGCTACCCATCATATGTATCTACTCTGGAGAGATGCTGTCGCCGTGATATTGACAGCTCACTCACCCCTCCTAACACCAAGGCAATCAGATGAGGCTAGCAGGGGCGCCTTTAACAGCACAACACAGAGCTACCGGCTCAGACTGGACTCCGAGCAATATGTGTCTTTGTCTCGATCGCGCCCCGTCGACTTGCAGCCCCACCTGATTACAGTTACCCAAGCTTCAATAGCGGATGGCCCTGTGGCGCAACGCTCTGGACCACCTGTACCAGCTTCTTGAGTCGATCAGCTATCCTTTCAACGACAACCGTCCGGTAAAGATGCTGCTACTGGCCATCGCTTCGTATTCGATGTCCTGCACAAAGCTCCGGAGTAATGGCGTAGGATGAGCATGAGAATCTCGACCGGCTCACGATTTCAGCCCCATTGTACGGGCAGCCAAACGCGTGCAGGCTAACGATAAGCCTACACCTGCGCCCATCGTGCAGACCAATGGCCCGGAGCCGACCCGGCGCAATGCGATTTGGGTGAGCCGCACTTGGCTGCAGCTGGCGTGGGCCACGATAGAACGGTGTTCAATAGTCCGCCGCCGAGCTGAGGTTGGATGATCACATCTCTCAGATGGGCTAATACTATCAGAGGCGCCGAGTCTGAATCAAGGGCCGATGAACGATCGTAGCATCTAGTGTCGGGGGCAGTTACTGTCGGTGACGGAGTGACCTTCCGTTGCTCGGATCAGCAATGTCCTCGAGCAATGAACGTGTTATATTTTCTCGATGCAAGCTGACCGTTCGCTGCCGCTCCCATTTCTCCAGAGGATCAAATGCTCGGCTCATTTTATCTATCCATGGCCCGAAATCTTCATTGCATCATTGGCCATGTCAACAAACATCAACCCTTTGTGCTTTCCAAGCAAGCTGCCCGACATTCGGACAGAAGCCATACCGCCATGGGGGCTTCCAGAACGCTCCTACTACGATCTCACCCCGGAAGATGAGATTCTCGATTTCCACAATAGGAAACTCTCTGTGGAAGAGACATCCAAGGCCGCCAGTGATCCTATTGTCGCCGTCATTGGAGTCGGATACGTTGGGGAGCAACTCGTCGACAATTTCTCATCAGGTTACCAAGTACTCGGCTACGACGTTTCCGATTCCCGAATAAGTCAACTCAAACAGTCGTTCCAGTTCAATGACCGTGTTCGGTTCACCCGAATTCCAAGGGACCTGGCTGTTGCGACACACTTTCTCATATCTGTCCCAACGCTGCTACTTCCAGACAGGACCGTCGACTCATCATACATTCGAAGAGCGCTGAATGTTATAGCCAACTATGCGCGCCGGGGCTCTGTCATTGTTATTGAAAGTTCTGTGGCCGTTGGAATGACGCGACAGCTGTTAGGCCCTCTAGCCGAAGAACATGGCTACTTTGCGGGAATGTCCCCGGAGCGCGTCGATCCTGGGCGCGCAGAACCCCATGCGAGCGCTATTCCGAAGATTGTCTCCGGGCTTGACGACGTTGTTCCCGGCTCCCTCGATGTTATCACGAAACTCTACGCAGAAGTCTTTCGCCGGGTGATCCCCGTTTCTTGTCCGGAAGTTGCTGAAATGACAAAATTGTACGAAAACTGTCAACGGATGGTCTGCATCGCTTACGCAAACGAAATGGCGGATGCTTGTCGATCGCATGGCATAGACCCGTTCGAAGTATGTCGAGCGGCGGCGACGAAACCATTCGGATACATGCCAATCACGCCAGGTCTGGGCGTCGGAGGCCACTGTATCCCGGTCAATCCCTACTATTTGCTTGCCAACAACGAGTTTCCTCTACTCGAGATTGCGTCCGAAACCATGAGAGCGCGACCAGCGGCAATTGCGGAGCAAGTGGTGCATAAGTCGTATTCCGGCCTTCGGAGCCGGCTACGACCTCACGTCTTGGTCGTCGGCATTGGCTTCAAGCCAGGTCAGTCTCATCTTGCAAACTCTCCAGGGCTCGCTCTCTCCCAAGCTCTAGTTTTGACGGACAGAGTGGAGGTGAGCTGGCTGGATCCTCTGGTCGGCCAGGAAGCCGTACCGCAAATTTTGCGTTTGCATCCTGACCATTGGACTGCGGAGACGTTGGAAGACGCATTCGACATGGTCGTCGTTGCTTTTCGGCAGCATGGTGTTGACTTTTCGATCCTGGATAGGGTTCAAGGTGTACAGGTTGAGTGGTGGTGTTCACAAAATGGCTAGTTGAGGATGAGTTGGTTGTGTCGAAATTAGGATCAGGCTTCTTGACAGAGCTCGGCTTCTATGGGATACCCGTATCCACCACCACGCATTGGCTCTCGTGGCGATTCATTGGCATACTTGCCGCGCCACAAGTCAGTCAACTGCACGAGGGGTGGCAACGTGAAACCCCTTGCACGTGGAGTCTGGCGAAGCCTTGATCGTACTTGTGACGTCGAACTGCCAGCGCATCAGCCACCTGGTGCGCAGAGTTAATGCCCATATTGACGAACGCTTAAGTGGCTGTGTACGTGCTTAGCCTGCTCAGCTTAGATGAGAAGTGTTTTGACGCGTTCCGTCCTTGGTCTTCGCCAGACGTGCAGGATCGGTGGCGGTTAACGCGCCCCAAGGCTGTCCCTACTTGCGTACATGCGGATGCCTATGGCAAGTAGGGCCAGTACCAGCAATCGTGCAGTATCTGAGTCTAGAGCCTTCTCTGCTCTGCCGCCGCATGGTTGCAGTCACACACGCAAGGTCTCCTTGGTCACACATGTTGGGTGGGAGGGTTGCTTACCCTGCAGTCTATCGACATCCCATGTCGCTGTAGATGTGACGCTCATGCACCAGAAACGGGGTGGAAACTCGTCATCATATGCGCTTCGAGAGTTCATGCCCACTCTTATGAGCTGCCATCGCGTTGTTGGCAATTTTGGGGCGCAGCCACCGTGGGCTCAACTCAACACCCGCGCATCGCAGGAAGTTGAGCATGGTTTGAGAATTGCTACCAGTGAGAGACGTGCTGCCATCGGGACGGAACAGCCAAGGGTACTTGTGGTACCTACGTGGCAGCCGGTTGCCGCGCTGCCCACCTGCCGGGGTTTCTGCTTCAATTGACGGTGCGCGTGCGCTGGCTGGTGCGAAGTACGATTGCTTCATCTCGCGACATTGACATGACCCAGTTTCCCAGGTGCCATCACGCCGGATAGCACGTGATCTTGTAACACGCACGTGATTTTCTAGGTGGGCTCAGGGCAGGTCAGTGACCGGAAGTTGCCAGAGTGAAGTACGGGAACTTTTCCTGCGCCCGCCCTCACCATGTGCCGGATTGTAGAGGGACTCGCTGGCGTGCTGTGCTAAAATTGGCTAGTGAGGGGCTCTCGTGCAACCATTGGCTCAAGCTGGGCAGCTGCGTCATTGCCCCTCCAACCCCTCCATCCCCGTCAGCGAGAGCTCTCCCTCGAGCTTGCCAGACGCCAGCCTCAGCCACTGACAAGCGAGGTACCTCGCCTGGGACAATGAGGTAGGGTACTGGCTGTTCCTCCGCCGCCCGCTACAAAACTTGCCCCTCCTTTCTTCTCGTCTGCAACACCCTCTCTTCGTGCATCGACACAGCCACCAGCACTGCTATCCCCACGACCAGCACGTTTCCTTGCGAATTGATCCAACCTGCATCATGGGTGTCACCAAGACTACCATCAAGTCCGGCAGTGGCGACCAGCCCACCAAGGGCGACACCGTCACCATTGAGTATACCGGATGGCTCAAGGACACATCCAAGCCCGACTCCAAGGGAAACAAGTACGGCCTCCCGCGAAGGCCGCGAGACCACCCGAGCTAATGCCTCTCGCCCCTTCCAGGTTCGATTCGTCCGTCGGCCGTGGCGACTTTGTCGTCAAGATTGGCGTTGGCCAGGTCATCAAGGGTACTTTCCCATTCACCGCATCCTTTCCGCACTGCAGAAGAGACGCAGGGCTAATTGAATCGGCGCAAGGCTGGGATGAGGGCGTCACACAGATGCAGGTGGGCGAGAAGGCCACGCTCGACATCAGCGCCGACTTTGGCTATGGTGCCCGGTACGCCACACATACCCGCTGCTGCACCAACCACATGGTTGGCCGTTGAGCCACAATCGGTGGATGACAGGCTGACGCAACGCCATAGCGGATTCCCCGGACACATTCCCCCAAACTCCGATCTGATCTTGTACGTCGTCGCCGAGCCATTGAGCGTCGATGCCCACCGCTCCCTTCTTGAAGCTTCCTTTCTTTGATGTGCGGAGACTTTGCTAACACTTTGTGCAGTGACGTAGAGCTCAAGAACGTCAGGCGCTAACTGCCACACGGGCAGCGGCAGACGCGTTCTGGATCGGCATGCAACGTTGAGCATGGAAGCTGTCAAATATAGGTGGCCATATTTCCGCGCCGACATTGGTTAGATGATCAATACAAAGCCAAAAGTTTGACCTGGTCTCGACAGGCGTAATCACTACCTTGCAGTACGGCGGTCTGCAGTTTTGAGATGGCAGTTGCCGTGCCGCCAGATGGACTGTGCTGGGCGACTAATACCCATGACTTCATATGGGCTACTAAGTGATGGATTCTGGTGTAGAACTTTGCGGCGCTCGTGTTATTGCAAAGCTGAGGCCTTTAAAATATCCAGTGGATAAATCGTGCGGTCGCCGACAGGAACTACATGGACTCAAGGACAGCAATGGCAGGGAATCAGTCTCTAAAACACAACTATCGAATCGTTTCCGAGCTCTAGTTGCAGCGCACGAACCCTCCAGTATATCCGTCGTAGACATGTCGACACGGTGTGACTGACCATGCCATGGCACACATGACCCGATTTTCGGGGCTCAAGCCTCGGCGTAGTCAATCTGGATAGTGTACTCCGGATCGTAGTGCATCGCCCAGTACCCGTCCCAAATTGCCCGCGTAATTGGGCCAACCTTGCCGTCGTTCACAGGCTGGCCGTCAAGCACGGTGATGGGCATGATACCGCCAGCCGTCGTAGACATGAAGATTTCGTCGCATTGATATGCCCTTTCCACAGGCACGGGTTCGCATCTAACCTCAATGTTGTTGGCCTTGGCGACGTCGAACACGCTCTTCCGCGTGATGCCCGGAAGCACACCACGGTCTGGCGTGTAGATGACGCCGTCCCTGACCAGCAGGATGTTGAAGCCCGAGCCTTCCGTCAGGCTAGCGTCGCCATCGGTCAGGAAAGGATAGAGCGCGTCGCGGTCTCGGGCCTCGTGCATGGCGCGAACCAAGTCTCCCCACTGGAGGTTCTTGATGGACGGGTCAATCGAGCCGGGAGGGACACGGCGCACCGTGCGGGCGACAACAGCCTTGCCGCCCCCGTACTGCGATTCCGGTTCCATGACCCAGATGTACGGTTGAACGAACATGTACAGGTTGTTGACGATTTCGTGCGGTTGGGACTCGCGGACGCCCTTGAAGCCGCGGGTGACGATGATCTGCACGAAAGCGTCGCGGATGCCGGTCTTGGCCACCATCTCGACCAAAACGCGCTTCAGCTCCTCCCTCTCAAGTGGCAGCTTGAGTCTGATCTTGCCACAGCCATCTTCGAGCCGCGTGATATGGTCGTCGAGGCGAAAAAATCGTCCTTCCCAGACAGCCGGGACGGTGTATGTAAGGTCGCTGTGCAAGAAACCCTGGTCGAGTAACGGGATGCGGGCTTCATGCAAGGGAACGTACTCGCCGGCGATCCATGCGATGCCTTTTGCGAACGAACCGGTCCTGGCGTCCGCGGCGGCCAGTCGCTCCCGGTAGCCGGAGAAGATCTTGTCCATTGAAGCCATTTTGAGAAGCCTCAGTAGAGCGGTTGAATGAATTAGTTCAGCGGGGCTTGGTACTTGGGTGAAGAAGCGGCACTGACGAGACTTCGTTTGCTGATTGAACGTGGCCCATTGAACTTGGCTGGCGCATTTATATCAGTATCCGGCGATTCTGCCTGCCTCATTGAACACACCCTCCACTGCAGCAAGCTTCGACTGCATCGTCTACTGTGTCGCGCATTTCTCGTGATCATCCAACACAGCCTGCCACAGCTGGCTGCCCGAGCCGAAGCAGGCCCCGCATATCTGCCAAAACGGGACATTGCCCAAAGGGGCAGTCGAGCCTCGCGAATGCGCGGCTTTTCTTCGAGAGGACACAGAGCGAAGCCGCCCCAGCATTGTCAGGGCAAGAAAGATGACCTCACAAACCGGGTCGCTCAATGCACAGGCGCGAATGATCATTCTCTTCTGCCAAAGAGGGCATTTGGTCAGCTTCGCGCTTCACCCGCGGTTCTCGTCGGGCTGGTGACAAAACGTGGCTCGTTCTTCCGTGCAAGCGCCCGCGCGGCTTCCGTATAAGCCCAATTGTCGCTGCCGCTGAGCAATGGCCCACGACTCTGCGTATGCCGCGCTCCGAAATGCCTGGAAGATACCTCACCTCATGATGCCAGGCCACAGCCGTGCGGTTCTGTTGACTTTCCGGGGCTTGAGACGGCGCTCGCCTTTGAAGTAGCAGGACCGAGTCACGGCTCACGAACTTCAGGGTCCGAATTCACAGCTACCCACTGGCGAGAGAACGGACAGCTTCCCAGTTCTGCATGTCAATTTGCACTTCGATGACCCGTCTCAATAGCGCAGCTTCAATTCCGACACGCGACGCGAACGGAGAGTTGACTTGCCACCCACTCGTTGAGCGTGTCGAGCGCGCCGAGCTCGCTGAGCGCCACGGAAGAGCCCTCGACAGCAACGCCACCGGCGAGCGATGCACGCGAGACGAGTCCCAGCCAAAACACGGCACGGCTGTAGCCCAAGCGGCTTCGCGCCGCAAGCTCCATGTGCCACGCCGAGCACGACGCTTGCAGTCCTTGCAGTTGCCAGCAGCGACTTTGATGGGGGAATGCCGCCTCTGCAATGGACATTACGCAGCCTTTCGGATGGCGGCGTTCAACAGACTAGGCTGCTTGCCGCGATGCGACGGTGGAAGGCCACGCGGTCCCGCTGGACGAGGCGAGGCCGACCGGGAAACACTCGGCAGGCGACGAGGGAGCGCGGAGTGGAGTCACGAAGCCATATGTCCGCCCTGGAATCAGCGCCACGGGGCTCGTCTCCTCTGCCGAGCCAAGTGGGTGTGTCATGTTCAGCTTGCAGACCTGGCATTACTATCATCGCTCGGACCAGAATGCAGGCGCGCGGAAGAGGCCACTCCTAAATGAACTGCCGCAAGGTTGAGATAACCCCCAATCGCGGGACGCAGTGCTACAAGATGCCCTTGGCGTCTTGGTTTGCTGGCTTGATGGTGATGTCCAGTGCTCCAGTTGGCCGATCGCTGAGGGGCTTTACCGGCACTCCAGCGTTAGTCCGCAACCAGTAAGCCGTGCCTGTAGCACCCCTTCGGGGCCTTGTTAGTTTTAGAGAGCGCCCGGTCCCAGTGCCGGTCAGGCTGCGACTCACCACCTCAGACCTTTGCATCCCGGGCATGGCGGCCTGTCGACGGTGGCTGAATAAGAGGCGCTGCCTGTCTGTTGAAGACGGGGTGAAAAATGACTAGCTAACCAACCTAACCCGCGAAGGAGCTTCACCCCCAGGTGACAACGGTTTCCACTATAGAGTAGGGTGTAAAATTAGGTGCCTATAGGCACCCGCGGGTACCCACGATATTTTTAGGTGCCTATTTAGACCTAGCTACTTAGGGTATCTTTTCGTAGGTATCTCTAGGTACCTATAAAATAAGATAGGTATCTTTAGGTACTTAAGTAAGAACTATTTCTTATTATTCCTTAGCTATAATATCTATTACGTTATATTATATTATAACTTAAGTTATATCTTATAATTATTTAATTATATAAATATAATAAGTAATTATATTAATTATTATTATAATTAAGCCCTTTATTAATTAAGAAGGTATTTCTTACCCTTACCTTTATTATACCTTATAGCTAAACTTTAATAGCTTATTTTAATATTATATATTATTTTATACTTTTATATAGCCTTATACTTATATTAAATAATTATTACTTTCTCTTCCTCGATTAAGGCTATATATCTTAGCTATTAAGCCTTTTAAGTATTTAAGTTAAGAACTAAAAAGTAATTAATATAATTAATTAATATAAATATAGAAAGAAGTAATATATTAAAAGCGCCCTTTAAGATAAACTTAATGCTTTAATCTTAAAAAATATTTAAAATATTATATAAATATTAAATATCCTTTTATATAAATATAATATACTTTATATAAAGAGAGAATAAGTTTAATATTAAAAAATAATTAATATAAATAATTATTATAATAAGTTTAAGATATATTAATAAATATTTAAGTAATAATATACTTAATTATCTCTTAGATATACGATAGAGTATCTTATCTAAAATATACTTTAAATATATAATTATAGGCGATTTCTTTAATAAAGTAAGTAAAAGGTATATAAAAGATAATATAGTTTATTAACTTTTAGTAAAAATAGATCTCTTATAATATAATAACTTTATTTATTAATAATATAGTAATTATTTATAATAATTAATACTTATTATTAAGCTTCTAGCGATATTTTTTTTACTTTAAGATATATAAGACTTATTTACTTAAAGTTTTATAAAGTACTTTTATAGTAATCTTTTTTATTTACTTAATAAATATCGCTTAAAAAAGCTATTAAATATTAATATAATTTATTAATATAAATAAATAAGAAATAGCTTATTTATAGAAAGTAAATATAAAATATAATAATAATAATATTAAGTAAGTATATAAAGGTTAATAAAAGAAAGAGAAAAAATAATATAATATAAAATATAATTAAAGATTTATTATAAATTAATTCTAGCTTAATTAATAAATATATATTATTTTAGTAATTAAATAAGGTAAGTCTTTATACTTACTTTATTATATATTAACCTTATTTCTCTTAACTTCTTCTTTTTATTAACCCTACCTTTATAGCGATATATTATATATTATAATGCTATACTCTAAAGGTATATATTCTATATAGTTAAAGTAATTATTTATATTAATTAGCTTAATTCTAGCCCCTTTTATTTTTCTCGGTATCTCTTTTATTACCCTATTTAGCTTTAAGTTATATATAATATAAAGGGCGATTAGCCTAGGCGTAAATAAGGTATATAAATATTTTATATATTTCTAAGTAAATATATTAATTATTTATAATAATTAAGCTATTTATTTAATATAAATAGAGAAAAGTATAAAGTAGAATTTAAGCTCTCTTAAAATCTATATACTAAACGTATTAAAGATTATTATAATAATTTACCCTTTATTAAATAAAAATAAAAGAATAAGTAAAATACTATAAAAGTAAAGAAATATTATAAGCTAAAGAAGCTAAAAGAATAAGATATATATAAAAATACCTCTCTAGCTATATAAATAGCCTTAAAGGAGTAATATATTAAAGAGATTAAGGTATAATAATAAGTTCCTTTTTTAAATATATTAATTATTTATATTAATTACTTATTAATATTAAGATATAGTATTACCTTAAGTAAAGCTAGAATATAGTTATTACCGAGGTAAAGCTTATAGAGGATAATAATAACCTAGACTTTAAGGATATAGGTAATATTAATATTAAGTATAATAATACTATTTTAAACGATAAGCTTAATTAAGATAATAAAGCTTTTATTAATATTATTATAAAAGATAATATAGCGTCTTTAATAATTTAGAAGATTAAGGTATATCTAACTTTAAGTAAAAGTCGATTTTTACTAACTTTTCTATAATAAAATAAATAACTTATATTCTATAATATTTATTATATTTTTTTAATATAAATTAAAACGATATTTATAAAAATTTATTATTTTTAAGTCTAGCTATTTACTTATTAAAAGGTAGCCTTTAAATTAATATAAATATTAACCTTTTTTATACTTTATATATTATTAAATAGACTTTAATATTAAGATATTATTTATATTAAATATATTAATAATTTTCTTATTAACTAAGCTTTTAGTTTAATATATATTAATAAAGTTAATATATTATTTTACTTATCGTTATTCTTTACCTTTTTCGAGGTATAGCTAGCGATAAGTTCCCTTTAATTATAGTAATTATTTATATTAATTATTATTAATATCTATTAAGGTATTTTATATAAAACGAAATATACTTACCCTCTTTTTATTTAAAGTTAATAAAGGGCCTTCTAAAAGCTATTTAAAATAGCTATAATCTATAATTTATATAGCTAGGGTTATTTTTATATAAATAACCTAAAATAAGATTATATATAAGAGAATCTTTTAGGCCTTACTTATCTATAAGATAGTATCTTTAATAAGTAAATCGATAAGGTTATTAAGTACCTTAATAAGCTTACTTTTAATATAGAGGATATAAAATATTAAATCCTTAATAACTAGCTTCGCTTATAGCCTATAAAGGGTAGGATTTTAATAGATATTAATTATATTCTAAACTTTAAGTAATAAATAGTTAAAATATAGCTATTATTAATTATAGTAATTATTTTTAGTAATTAATTACTATCTCTAAAAAATACTATATAAAAAAACCTATTTATAATTTTTTTAGAAAAAAAAAAGTAACTATAATAAAGATATTTATATTTTATATATAAGTATTAAAAGTTATATAATTTAATAGTTTTATAATTATATATTAATAGTTTTTTTTTAAAAAAAAACTATAAAATAAGAGAATTTTTTTAATAATTATTTATATTAATTAGCGCTAGATATATATATATATATATATTTATATAATTATATTTTAATAGAAATTAATATATTTAAGGTAGTATTTCTAAAGTATTATTTTACGATAAATTTTCTTAAAGTATTATTATATAAAGCTAGCTTTAATAAAAATCTAATAATATTTTCTTAGCTTTATATTACTATACTTTCTTTTATAATTATATAATAAATTAATATAATATAATATAACTTTATTTTTAAGCTTATATGTTATTATTATTAATAAATTAGCTTAAAAAGGGTCTAATTAAATTTATATTAATTAATTTTACTTATCTTAATATTCTTTTATTTACTTACTATAAGATAGACTTTAATATATTTAATATTAGCTAGTCGCTATCCCTATCGCTATAGCTACTTAAATAGACTAAATAAGGGCTTAAGACTATCCTTAAAACTATTTACTTATTATTTAATATTAAGAATATAGCTTAATAAGCGAAATTCCTTATTTAATAAAAGTTAATACCTTAATTTTAAAGTAAGCTTAATTAACTTACTTTATTAACTATATTAAAAATATCTTCTCTTATAGTAAGCCTTCTTAGAATTTTTACTATAACTTATTAAGCTTAGATATAAAAAGCCTTTTATTAAGGCATTAAAGAAGATAATATATTAAGGATTATTTACTTACGCTATTAAGTTAAGCTTATATACTTTAATAAATTTAATAGGACTTCTATAATAATAAAGTATTAAAAAAGTATCTTTTATTAAGGCCTTACCTTAAATTAATAAAGGTTATACTTTTAAGTCTCTTATTAAATAAATTAGTAATTTATTATATTAATTATTTATATTAATTACCTTATAGGTAAGTACTATAGATTAATATAATAAGGTCTATAACTTACTTATAGCTTTTTTTATAAAGACTTATTTAACTATAAATATAGTTTTTAACTTAGCTTTTATTGACTTTTTTAAGTTTATTTATTTAATTATCTCGATCTTAATTACTTTAATTATAGTTAAGTATCTTTATATTAACGCTTTATATATATATTAAAGTATCCTTAAATAAATAATATTAAGCTTATAAATTTCTTTAATAATCGATAATTAAATAAGAAATATATAGTCTTAAATAATCCTTAATATATTAAATTACTTCCTCGATAAAAACTAAAGGCTATATATTATCGCTTTAAGTATAATTAATATCTTAAAAGATATTTTAGCTAAAAAGTAAAACTAAGAGATTATTTATTACTTTAATACTAAAGAATATTAATTATATAAGTTAATAAAAGCCTTTAGCTTTATTACTATAGATAATAATTCTTATATTAATTTAAAGCGCTTAAAGAAGTATATAAAATAATAAGACTTAAAATAGCCTTATAGGTAAAAGATTCCCTTTATTTAATATATTATATATATTCTTAATTTTATTATTAATAAGATTTTAAATATAAATAAGCTTATTATTATTAAAAAGTCTTAATAATATTAAGATAAGATAATTAATAATAATATTAAAGGTATTATTATAAATAATAATATAATTAAGGCTAAGTTAAAGTATCTTATTAAAGAGATATTTAAGATAATAAAAAATTACCTCTTATCGGTTATAATTCTTAAGGTATATATTTATAATAACTATTTTTAGTAATTATTTATATACTTATAGATCTAGAACCTAGCTATATATATATCTTAGAGTAATAAGTTAAGTATAATATTTATAGATATATAATAAGAGTTATATTTAATATATCCTTTATTATATTTAATATATAATATTATTACTTATTAAAACTTAATAATATTAATACTTTTATAAGTATATAAGCTATATAAAGTAATTAATAAATTTATTATAGTAACCTTATTTAAAAGTAAAGAACTTATTATAGAAGACTAGACTTAAATAAGCTTCTTTATTAATATTAAAGTAATCTTTCTTTAATTAATTAATTATATTAATTACTATAAAGGTCTAACTTTATTTAATTCTTAGCGCGTTTTATAATTTATTTTTATTTACTTAAGGATCTTAGAAAATAGTCTATAAGGCTATATTTAAGTACTTAACGTTAGTAAGAAGAGAACTTAATATAGCGTCCTTTAGATTATAATTAATAAAGCTTAATAAAAAGCTAATAAATATAGTAAGTACCTTTATAAGGATAAAGCTATATATATTATTATATCTTTATTAACGCTAATATTATTAGAATTTATTAATAATCGCTATTAATTAAATATAGAGCCTTTATTTTATAAGTATAAGTTTAAAGAAGTTAGAAAAAAATATAAAGAGCTCTTTCTTATTAAATATATAAAGACTTATTATAATCTCGTTTAGCTATAAAGATAAGCTTAAGACTTATCCCTTAATAACTATCTTATAGTAATTTATATAAGCTTATTAAAGGTCTATTAAGCCCTTTTTATAATAAGTATTTTTATTAATTAAATATAGAGTATATAAGAAGTAAAAGAGCCTTAAGTAATTTATTAAGCTTTTTTCTTAGAGTAGTATTACTTAAATAAAGACCTCTATAGATTTTAGTACTAGCTTTCTAAAAAGCTACTTTATAATAACGTTATAATAATAACTCGCAACTATCTCTATATTTAGCTAAATATAATCTCGATTAAGAAAATATAAAGTATTTACTATAATATTAATAATTATAAGCGCTATTATCTTTTTATTACTATACTTATAGACCGATTTAGTTTATATATCTATAGGTATATATTAAGCTAGAAAGATAGTCTCCTTAAAGACTACTTATTTCTCTTTAAAGAGAAAGAAAATAAAGTTTAATAGCGCTAGCTCTATAAGCTATAAAAGGCCCTTTAATACTTATATATTATTAATAATAAAAATAACTTTAATAAGTTCTATCTAGCTTATTTTAATATAAATTAAGGTAACCTTACTTTTATAGCCCCCTTTTTTATTTATAATAATAATTTATATTAATTATACTTAAAGTAAGAGTCTTAAGCTATATAAGAATTATTAATATAAAAGTAGCTACTTAATAATACTTTAAGAGTAAAGTAAGATATATTAAGTTAAGTAAAGAGCTCTTAGCCTTTTAAACTACCTTAATTATTTACGATAATATAACTATTAACTATTTAAATAAGCTATTATATATTTATATCTAAATTTAAAGTATTTTCCTCGTTAGTTTAATATATAATTAAACTCTTTAGTTTAATAATTAAAGTAAGCTATTTTAATTAGCTTATTCTTTATAAAAAAGTATTTAAATAATAAGCTATTTAGCTAATATTAAATATAGCTACTTATCTTTAAGAGGCTATAATAACTTATAGTTCTATTAATAAGGATTATTAAGTTTAGGATTATTATACTTATAGCTAAAAACGCTAATATATAAAGGAATAGCCTTTAAATCTAGTTTAAATATATACTAAAAGGAATATTAAGCCTATAGATAAAGAGCTACTATATTATAAGTCTTAATCGAATTAAGTTATTTATT